GCAAAAACAGTAATAACGCCTGGACAGTTACCACTTTTGAAAGCGCTTTGACGTATCCATAAACTGGGAATAACTCGAATGTGTACAAAATAACATTAAACTAGACGCCTGCGCAGCCTCTGTCCCCCACCCCCCACCCCCCCAGTGACCTCTTGCCCACTGGGCGTCTCTGATTGGAGAAAGCCCAGAAACCCGATCCCGTCTTGCTTCACCCTGAGCTGGGAAGTGTCCACCCCAACGGCTATTAATAAACTCAGCTCCTGCCTAGGTCAAACCAGGCGAGTCCCCAGCTAGCCAAGTCCCCCTTTCCTTTCCTTTGAACCACGTTAAAGTTCAAACCGTCTTGTCCTTAGAATAAGAGAGTTCGTTCCAGAAATGACAACAAAACTCACTTCCTGTTGGCCGAAATGTTTTATATATTAATTCATTTTCCATTTGTTCTCCACTTGCACGGAGCAGGGTGGAGGGAAGGCATCGTCCCTGCCCAAGGCTGCCTCGTCTGGGGTCACCGTGGGACAGCGCCCTCTGGGGGCATTTCTGAGACAGGACACTTCTGTGGCCCAAATGACAGCAGTCCGAGGCTCGCTGCCCTGTTCTGGGGTGAATGGGGACAGGCAGGGCCTGCAGGAGGTACCAGGGTGTGGAAACAGGGTCCAGCCTCCCAGCCATGGCCAAGGAGAAAGGCTGGGTCCACCAAGCAGGGGCCCGGAGATTGTCCCTCTGTGTGTTGCTCCGAAAAGAATCCCAGCCCGTGACACCAGAGTTGAATGGCCGGCGGGGAAGTTACCCCTGTGGGGGTTTCCAGCTGTGCCGCCTGTGGAGAGGGAGGTGGGGGCTGGCAAGGCGGCGGCTGGCGTGGGAAAAGCAAAGGAGTCTTGAGAAGGGAGGACACCAAGTTCGCTGTCTTTGCACCTTCCCAGGCTGGCCCAGGTCTATAGGGAGGGGTCTGGGTATTGTCGCTGGTGGCGAGGGTCCTGTGTCGGGGAGGGCAGGTGCTGAGAATCGTGGTCGGGCCACGCCTGGAGCCACAGCTGATGCACAGGACTGTGCATCGTCACTGTGGTTCTTCCTGGGGGGTGGGGGCCAGATGGTCACGCCCCCCTGGCGGGCCCTGCTCCAGCCGACGTGCGGAGCACCCCAGACTCATTGTGATGGGGTTCCAGCTCCGGAAGCCGGCTTGGATCCAGGGCTCCGGCTCGGAACAGCCAGGGCCAGCAGGACGCCAGCCCGCGCTCACAGTTCCCATCGAATCGCAGTGCGCTCATACCCACAGGTCCTTCCACTGTGTTTTCCATGCAGCTGCTGCTAAGCGCAAAATAGTAAGACTCCCACAGGTTCACCTGACTCACCCTCCCCCTAAGCCGGCAAAGCAGGTTTATCAGCCCCAACTGTATGGACGAACTGAAGGCTGAGAGAGACTTGGAGGTGGCGGGAAGGGGAGCTGGCAGTGCAGGGGCGGGCACACCTGCAGGGCAGCCCTGCCCCCGCCCCCCTCATCAGCAAAGCCCCTGACGAGAGTCTGCGCTGTGGGAGGAAGCGAGCGCCTGTGACTTCACATCAAAGGCCTCTTCCTTTATCCCCCCTCCTTCCCAGCTCCTCTTCCCACCACTCAGGTCCAGCTCCGGCCCACCCGCCACAAAAGGCTGCCCTCCTGAGCTGCCTCACTCTGATTCGGTGGCTCTCGGCCCGGATGCAGCAGAGCTACAGGGTCAGATGAAGACGACCCCCAGAGTCCTGCTCTGTGTGCACAGAGAAGGGGGGTCTGGGCTTGGGCGTCTCCTCCTCGCGGTGCGGAGACCCGTGGTCCACGGGGAGATGACCCGCTCTCTCTTGCCCGTCATATTTACAGGCGGTCTCGTCTTTCAGGCTCAGCGCCGTTGTTCATACCAGCTACCATTTACTAAATACCTGCGAGCGTTCTATTACCAGGTGTCGTAAGCCCCGTTTTACAGGTGAGGAAGCTAAGTCTCCAGGAAACCGTGTAACTGGCCAAACTGGGACTTGAGCCCAGGCCTGAAGCTTCCACCCCCCAAACCAACCCCCCCCTTACTCTGGGTCCTGTGTATTTGACCCTGAGTGTCTGCTTTCTACCGCCCCTAGACGCCTGACCGAGACGGATGTCGCCGTGCACGTCCCAGCTAAGGAGAAACAAAATCCCAGGAACAAGATCTTCAGACTTCGCTCGAGGGGAACAGCCCGTCCTCCTCCCAAAGCCAGTCCCTGCCCAGGCTGGCCGAGCCCTCAGCCTGGAAGGCTCCAGCCGCTGTGCGCTCTGGGTATGGAAACCCTACTCTTCTCCAAGGTGGGGCTCCAACGCCAGTATCTCGGGGACCCCTTCCCTGGCCCCGCCAGTTGGAATTCCTCCTGATCGGTGACCCCATGAACTTGGCCGCTGGCTGGGGGCAGGCCTACCTGCTCGCATTCTGTTTTGACCTCCTAGAGGTGGGGACCAAGTGTCCCCCTCTCTGCACACCCCACATGTCTCTGCACACCCTCAGGGCCCGGAAGACAAGCCCCACGGACTCTCGGAAGGGCCGTGGCCAACGTCACAGGTGGATGGTGCCAACGTAACAGATATCTCGGAGGGTGCCCCAGCCGCCAGAGGCCCTTCCCCCGCCCCGGGACGGAAGCACCCACAACGACTGAGCCGCTTTTCCTTTCCCCAGAAGCAGCCAGTGCAGCCCGAGCTCCCGGCCGCGGTAGCTGTGCCCTCCTCCTGGGCTCTCCCGCCGTGCTGTCAGTCCCTCTGGGCGTCTGCCTCGATTTCCTGCTTCGAGTTCCTGTCCTGCTTTGCCGAAGACCCCTCTGGGCCAGGCCCTCCTCTGTCCCCAAGCGCCGAGCGGGAGGCTGGCTCTCCCACTGGAGCGGCCCGCTGGGCTCCCAGTGTCCCCACCGCGCAGCTGCCCCTCAGCCCCGCAGGCCAGATTCTCCCAGGCACGGGCACACGTCGGAGAAAAGCCCAAGTCCCCGGGACCCCTCAGACCCTGTGCCCGGCGGACGCCCTGCAGGGGCCGGTGCTGCAGCTCCAGAGTCCAGGACCCGCCTCCCAGTACCCCTCCCCGTGCCCCCCCGGCCACAGAGGCCCGCCTCCCCCAGGAAGGAAAGTCACAGTGTCACACAGCAGCCCCCCTGGGACAGCACAAGGGCCACTGAAGGCTCTAGAGCCAACCCCCTGGGGCGCCGTGAGGGGCTGGACGAGTTATGGAATAAAAGGGGTGAAGGGCTGGGCCCGGAGCCCTTCCCATGACTGCAGTAGACCAGCCTCCAGAGCAACGAGCAGAGTCTGAGTGCCGTGCGCCCAGACGCCCAGACACCCAGAAGCCCAGATGCCCAGACGCCCAGACACCGCGCACGGAGGGATGGCTGCTGGCAGCTGTGCCCTCTTACTCCCACTCTGCCGCACGTCCTAGATCCTCTAGAATCAGCACACGGTCACAATCAGGAAAAATAAGGAATAATCAGAAACTACGAGCCAAACACAGGTGTTGCCAGAGCATCCCCAGGTCACAGCCTCTAGAGGTGGCCCAGGCTGACGGGGGCGGGGGGCGGGCAGCTTCCTGTCTCCCCCACCCCCCACCATCAGCCCCTGCGCTGCGGGGGGTGGGGGGGGCGCCAAGTCCCGCCTTCACAGCCTCGGTTTCCTCAGCTGTCCAAAGGGAATGATGGCATCAGCCCGGATTGCAGGAGAGAGACACGACCCGCACTGAGACCCGGGTGTCGGGGCTGGGAGACCATCGGTCACCGTAGTGGGCGTGGGGGGCTTTGCGGGAGTCCCACGCTGCCCCTGGAGGGGAGACAGGTGCGCTTCTGGGCCAGCCTGGGGCTGCTGTGTGTCGGGGCGTTTCCGGGAGTGGAAGCAAGGCCCCACCCCGTGAGCCCCCCACTCACCACACAACCAGCCTCTTTAATCAGAGGGTGGGGCTGGCTGGCCTCACAGCACTCCCGGGGTGGCAGGGGGGCGAGGGTCCCAACCCTGTCCTCAGCCTGCAGAGGCAGGGCCGTGGACCAGCCCCGGGAACTTCCGCAGGCCTCCGTCCACTCGGCAGCTCTCGCCCAGAGGGCCCAGAGATGGGAGCAGCATCTGGGTCCCCTTTCTCCCGTGGGTGTCCCCACTGCATCTTAGCGTGGGCAAGCTGCCCTGAGCACGAACCTGGCTGGAGTGACAGGTGACCACCAGCCAGGAGGCTCAGTCTGCCCCACACAGGCCACGCCCCTCACGCGGTTGCCCTGGGAGGCAGAAAGCCCCCTCACCCTGCTGCCAGGCCCACGGAGTCCCTCCGAACCCCGGAGTGCCAGCCCAGCCAGCCGTCTGCAGACGAGGGCCGGAGGCCGAGGGTCACGGCTCACCCGGACACTATGGGTCAAACCCCTGCCTTGTGGAAGGGACGGCCAGCCCCGAGTTCTAGCCCCGGTCCCACGCTCAGGACCACTCCCACTGGGCGTGAGCTGAACACCCTCCACTCCTGCCTGGGGGGCCTTCAGGGAAAACAACTGCTGACAGACAACCTCCGCCCCCCACCCCACGGAAAAGCCCCGGCAGCCAGGACGGGACCTGAACAGGCAGGATGGTGCGGCCCCTGGCTGTGGAGCCCGGTGGGGCCCGCAGCACACACGCCACACTCTGAGACGTGGGGTCCGACGACCGCAGGGGGGCCCTCCCTTCCCTTCCCCCCACCTCAGTGCACAATACAAGGCCCCAGCAAAGGGCCTGGAGCAGGAAGCCCTCAAAACACCCCGTGCCCCAGTCTCGAGGGTCAAAGCCGTCACTATTTATTTTCTATTCAAAGCAAAGGAAAAAAGTCCTTGATTCTTGAATAAGTTCTAAAACCTCTACACATGCGGCCTCCGTAACGGGAGCCCCTGGGGAGCAGCCGGTCGGTCCCACCACTTATCTGGTAAAGTGTGAACTCACGAATCCTAACTGGCACCTCCTCAGCGCAAAGGATCCCACGGGTCCCCTCGGTGCCGCTCGGCCGGGGACGCTCACGCTCGGCCCTTACCCACGACCAAGGTGAATCCGGGTGGCCCTTGTCCTTCGAGGGCTCCCAGGTGGAGCCACAGGTGCGGGCCTGCTCCTCCATGGCCCCGCCCTCAGGATGCTGGCCGCCTCCTCGCCGCCGCCACCAAGTCCTGGGAGAAAAATGCCGCCAGTGGCTCCCTTCACGCCCTCAGGAGCAGGGAGGCTGGGCCCGGGACACCGAACCCGGCAGGTGGCTTCCCCAGGAGCTCGGCCAAGTCACAAGGCTCCGATAGAGAGCGGAGTGTTGAATTGCAAATCTTCTCCCACCTGGGGACTGGCTGACAACTGGAGCCGCCTCTCCCGTCCTAAAGGCCGCAGGGTCCCCCAGGTGCCAGAGGCAGTGGACTCGGTGAGAGGAGCCGGCCGGGGGCGCGACCCCTGCCGGCCGGCAGCCAGCACTGTCTTCATTCCCTCCCCCCCCAGCTCTCTGACCCTCAGAGACTAACCAGCTTCCCCAAGGTCACATAGCTCCAAAGGACAGAGTAGGGATTCAGACCAAAGGGGACTGCACAGGAGGAGGTGGGGGAGAGACCGCCTAGTGCGCTGGGGGCAGGAAGCCCCACCTGCCGCAGTGGAGGCTGGGGGGGGCGGGGAACGTAGTCCGAAAATGCCCTGGGGAATCCTTTCTCTCTATTCTTCTGCGTGGCCTCCACAGCCCTCGGGAGGTCGGAAAAGCTGGGGTCACCAGGTCACCATCGTCACCTCCATCACACTCAGCTGCACCAGCCAGCGCAACAGCTCCCCAGTTTTGAGTGCCTCCCACACACCAGGAGCGAAGCAGTTAAGCCGCACGCTGGCATATAACTCGCAGAGCAACCCTATAAATAAGGTCACGGGTTGAAAATAGGAGCTTGGAGAGTGGGCCCCGGGTCCCGAAGCAGGAAGTGGCATCTCAGGGCCGGGCCACCTTGAGGGGCAGAGCCGGTCAGCCAGCCCGGACCCTGCCGGGAGCCGGGGACGCATGGCGATGAGCCTGTTGGGGGACCTGCTGCCAGCGGGAGGGGCTCCAATAACCAGGGCGGTGTCGGGCGAGGCCGAGGGCGGAGGGCACGCCGCAGGAGTGGGCATGACAGGGACAGAGTAGGGGATGCTTTGCCATCTCACCCAGACAGAGGAAGGGAGAAGGTGGGTTGGAGTATTGGCATCTGAGCACGTGGGCGGGGAAGCCGAGGCCGGGGAGAGGAAGAAGGGTCAGAGAGAGGACAGCGGAGGCCGGTGTGCAGCCAGTGCTCAGTCGGCTCCCTGACAGCTCTCCCCACTGGGGCCCGCCCCTTGCTCCAGTCCCCGAAACCTGTGACTCCCGCACCGGACCGCCTCCAGAAATCTTCCAACTCTGCCCTCTTCTCCAAAACCCTCCCCGGCCAGGCCTTCTCTGGTTTCACCGCAGCGGGCAGGTTCCTCCTCCCCCCAGAGGCCTGCCCTCCCCAGATTCCCTGGGGCTGGGTGAGGGAGAGGTACTCACGCACAGGAGGGTGCCCGTGTCTAACTGCCCTCCCCTTGTAAGTTCAGGGGTCAGAGGCTTCCCCGGTGCTGCATTGGGAAGGGGCAGGGAGGGGCTTGGTCCCGGGCCTCCATTCCCAGGTCACTCACTACGCCAGGGTCCTGGCCACACAGGTGTCCCTGCCTTGCCCACCCTGGAAGAGCACAGAGCGCCCTGGGGAGGGACCACTGTGCACAGCCTCACAGCTGGGCGCCCCACCCCGCCCCGGCACAGCTCCCGCGGTCTGAACGCCCCAAATGTCCTGAGGTGGCGGGGGGCGGGGGGCGGGGGGGCAGAACACCACTTTCAGACACTTCTGCTGAGCTGGGTCACCGCCACCACTCGCTATTTTTACTTCCTCCTGTCGACATATTTTAAGAATCTCCTGACCAACCAGTGATAAGACGGTGAGTGGCTGGTCACACCTGGCCCTGGTCAGCATGCACAGGGGCGCGGCCCGTGCACAGGGTGGTGGGTCTGACCGGGGCAGCCCCCGTGTCGCTGTTGCCATTCGGAAGGCGCAGGCATGTGCCCCCTCTGACCGGGAGGGCAGGGGGCATGGTGCTCAGCACTCCTGGCCCGGGTGGCAGTTTCCCAGGCCTGACAGCAGCGTGTGCTGGAGACGGGGTGGCCCGGCTGGCGGGCGTCCCACTGCTGTGCAGGGCTGCTGCTGAGAGCCAGCGCTGGTTTGGCGGGTACACCTCGCCACGGGAGGCGGCCGATCACAGGGCTCCGAGAAGCTCTGCATGACGCTTAAATCTCAGGCTCTGAGTCACGCAGCTCTGGGCTCTCGTCTCGCTCTGACCTTTAGAAGCCGTTCTGACTCGGGGCCGGTCCCTCGGCCTCGAAGAGCCCTCGCTTGCTTATCTGGCAGACCCGGGGATAAAAATAGAGGCGCTCTCTCAGAGGGCTGCTGCGGGGATACTGGAGGCCGCGGGCTGCGAGCCCTGGATGCGGAGCCTGGCGTGTGCTAGACCTTCACAAAGTGGCTGCAGCCACGGAACCTCCCACGTACTGGGTCGTAGGCTCTAACAGCCCCATGTCACAGACAAAGAAGCTGAGCCCCTGATTTACTTCGGATTTCCACCCGCTGCAGACTCCCCAAGCTTTCCTACGACAGCGCTCCTGAGGGCCACGGCCGGGAGCAGGCGAACTGCCTGTGAAACGCTGCTGGCTGCTGTGTGTCGCTGCTGCGAAGAACCCACGGCTGTCCCTTCCCCGGGGCCTGCCGGTGCCGTCTGGGGGTCACCGGGGAATGCCCAAGGGCACTTTGGGTTTTGCCCTTTCTCAACCTTAGTTCGTGCTGTGATCTCTCTCCAGAATGCCTTCGCAGTTGCCCGCTTTCTGGGCCCAAATGGTCAGATTTCCATCTTCCTCGAAGCCTCCCCTATTCTCTCCACCCCGCAATGACCTTCCCACACGTTGACCTTTCAGGGAAAGGGTGAGATGGGGACTGACATTCCCGAGTTCGCTCCACGTGCCAAGAGTTTGTCTCACACCCGTCCTCTCTAACTCTCCAGGAGAGGCGATACCATTCCCCGGAAGGGGACGCGAGCTGGGGGAGGCTCGCCCGGCCGGGAGGAGGCGGGGCTCAGAGCCCTCCCAGCTCCCGCGCGCGCGCGCACACACCACCGCCCCGCCCCCGCGGCCAACGCCCCCTGCTGAGCGGTCCAGGTGTTACAGCGGAGGGATCCGCACGACTTAGCGTGATCGCCAAGGCCCGTGGTTGGCCGTCAGAGGCACTCCCGGCGCTCGTTCTGTGTGGTCTTGACCTCTGCTGATGACAAACGTCCGTCCCTGGAATGTCGTGCAGAGCAACGCCCCTGCCCTCCGAGCGCTCTGCGCTCCCCTCCTCCCCCATCCATCCAGCCTCCCACGTCATCTCTGCGCACCGCCGACCAGCACTCTGCGGTCTGCAGGGACCGCGGCCTGCTGACCCGCGCACCCGCGCACCCGCTGACCGGCATCTCCGCCGCTTCCCGGCTATGGCGCTTGTGAATAAATCTGCTACACACGTCTGCGTGCAGGTTCTTGTGGGGACACAGGTCTTCGTCTGTTTCGGGTAAATACCAAGGACTGCGATTGCTGGGTTCGGTAATAAGAGTACGTTTGGTTTTGTAAGAAACCGTGTTCCAAAGCGGCCGCACCACGTTCCACTCCCAGTAGCAGCGAGGGAGCGTCCCTACTGCTCCGTGGCGGCGGCGGCGTTTGGCGCTGTCAGCGTTTCAGGTTTTGGTTATTCTGACAGGTGTGAGTCGATACCTCGTTGCTGCTTTCATTTGCATTTCCCTGGTGACATGCAATAAGGAGCATCTTTTGTTTACTTGCCATCTGTGTATATCTTCTTCGGTGAAGTGTCTGTTAAGGTCTTTGGCCCTTTTTTTTTTTAATTGGACTGTTGGCTTTTCTCCTGTTGGGCTTTCAGAGCTGTGGGTATATCGTGGGTGACTGTCCTTTATCACACACATGGGTCAGCCGAGGTCCCAGTAGCAAGCAGAGGGGACACCTCCCATGGCTCCCTGAGAATGACACCCTCCAAGGACTGGGCGAGTGTGAAGCCATGAGGATGCAGCGGTCAGTGACGAGGGACTTCCTGGAGGACATCAGTGTGGCACTGAAACAGCCCTCACCAAGAAGAATAGCAGCTGCAAAGTGTTGACATGCTGGCAAGACCAAGACCAGCTGTGTCTGGGATGGCGCACAGTGGGACAGCACCCAGGCAGATGGCGCACAGTGGGACAGCACCCAGGCAGACGGTGCACAGTGAGACAGCACACAGCCAGACAGAGCACAGTGGGACAGCACATAGTGGGACAGCACACAGCCAGATGGCGCACAGTGGGGCAGCACACAGCCAGACGGCGCACAGCGGGACAGCCCAGGGCACTCGCTGCGCTGCCAGTCCCGGGTTTCCGCACAGATTCCCTCATTCATCCTTCACAGAGAGTCCGCAGTGTAGACAATACTTTCTTCATGCAGAGATGGGTTGAGAGAGGTCTGAAAACCTTGCCCAAGGCCGCAAGGCCAGTGAGTGGTGGCGTTCAGCCCAACTTGTCTTTCAGGTCCCAAAGGAAGCCACCTTCCAGCCAGCACCCGCTTCCCTAGGTGGAACTGAACTGAGAATGCGAATGCGGCCCCGGGCTCGCACTCGTGGTCGTGCATGTGCTCAGAGGCATTCCTGGGCGGGGATGGGAGGCTCGCTCTCTGGAAGTTCTCAGAGAGGGGGAGGCACTTGCTAACTGGGGACTCGCCCAGTCTCCGGGCACTCAGAGGAGAGAGCGTAGGCTGTGAAAGGGGGTTGGAGACCAGCAGCTCGAAGGCCCCTCCACCCCCACCCCCAGCCCAGCTCAGAAGCAAGGTGCCCTTCCCCATGCTGTATTCTTCGCGCACCTTAGCGCCCGGCGCCTGCAGCAATGCGCTGTCCGTGCCTGTGGTGCTGAAGGCGCGGGCCAAGCCCCAGGGCGCCTGCGCTAGCGCGGGCTCAGCCCAACTCTCTCGGCTCCGCTGCTGCCGCTGGCGGAAGTCGCATGCCCTGCGGACCTCTTACATCTTCGTGCGGTGCCACTCCCTCTGGGTCTTCGGAGACCTGGAATGCCGCGCCTACTACTCCGTGCCCGAGCTGCGCTGAGCTCTTCCTGGCCCTGTGCCCAGCCACCAGCCGACACCCCACAGGACCTGCACCCTGCTGTGGCTGGTCTGGGCGCCTGGTCCCGCCCATGGCCGTCATCATGGGGCCGAAGGGGGAGCTGAAAGCTGTGGGGGGCAGCCAGAGCCCGCCTCGCACCAGCACCCCAAGCTGGTGACCCGTCATTGCTCCAGGTTTTCACCCAGAGAAGGGGAAGGGCGGACCAGACCACCTATGTTTCCACCTCTAACACTCAGGACCACCTGGAAAGTTGGATCTCATCGGCACATTTCACAGCCACGGTGACACACGAAGAGAAGTCTGGGATTTAAAATGAACCCTGAAAGTCGATGGCCTCCCCAGCTTGCAGGAGTGGTGAGCGAGCGTCGCTGGGTGTAAGAACTGCCCCGGGAGCCTGGGGTGACGGATCTCCTAACCCACCCCAGGCTTCTGCTCTTCCATTATCGGCAAAACTGGTCACCTTCAGCCCCGGGACCGAGGACAGCCAGCCGGGGTGATGGGATTTTGCACAGATAAGGGAGAGAGGCCTGCACATTCGGTATTAAGGAAGATTTCAGGAGAAATACACACACCAACTGCAGCCTTAACAAGGACACGGGAGAACACAAAGTTAAACTCAGTCCGATAGCATTCCGTTTGCTTCAGAATTGCTAACCACGGCCCCCGTAAAGAGGATTACTGAGAACCAGCTAGGAAGAAACCTTTTTTTTTTTTAAGATTTTATTTTTTAGAGAGGAAGAGAGAGAGAAACATCAATGTGCGGTTGCTGGGAGTCATGGCCTGCAACCCAGGCATGTACCCTGACTAGGAATCGAACCTGCAACACTTTGGTTCCCAGCCCACGCTCAATCCACTGAGCTACACCAGCCAGGGAAACCTTTATTTTTTAAAATGGACTTCCTGTATCAGACGTGTTTGCTGGTTGTCAAATTCCTAACCCAAATCTGGACCTGATGATAAGACCAAAAACAAAAATAAAAGAAACCCCAATCCACCAGAGGCAGGACAGGAGCCACAGGAGTGGATCTGGTCACGCGGGGACTCCAGCCGCAGTCAGGACAGTGGGAACTGCCACCCCTACCATCACATCAGGTGAGGGAACCCTGATCTCAGACCTCAGTGGCCCAGTCCGAGCACCACCTGCCACCACGCTGGCCCGAGCACGTCAGGGCCACGGAGCAGCACGGGACCCTCGCCCACCTCCCAGCAGGTTCCACAAGGGCTCTGAGTGGCAGCAGGCTCATCTGGGGTGGTCAGTGCACCGCAGCACCCTGACGCAGCCTTGCCAATGAACCTGCAACCAGACATTTGAAATGCCTGGGAGCGAATTTCCACCGTGTCTCACAACCTGGTGGCATCTGGGCATGCCTGTTTTGGAGCTAGAATTTGGGCAGAAAGTGTCAAGCAAGCTGAGTGTTAAAAATACACTAGTTGCAGAGTCCATGTGGTGCGCACTGACCAACGCAACGAAAACTGAAATGTGTTCGAGGCGCGTTTTCGACTTTGTACGTGTGAGTTCTTTCAGTGTGACTGCACCGTCCAGCAAGCAGCACGTTCAAGATATCGGCCTGGGCATACAGTTTGTGTTGCTGCAGCAAAATAACCAAACTCGGATTAGGGTTTCGCATATTTGGTTCACCTTTCGTTTTCGTGCTTTATCAGTGAGTTGATTCTCTGTCTACATTAACCAGTGTTTTTAACCAATAAAGTTGCTTATGCTTTCTGAAAGTACAAAAGCTATAGAGCTTTTCCAGGAATATTTTAAAACTCCAAAAAGTAATTCCTAACTTTAAACCTAGTTTTACCTTCAACTTGTCTCAACTGGCACCAAAGTTGCAATTTGGTAGGAAGTATGCTGTTGCCAATAAACCCCTGCTTGGCTCTGCAGCAAACTAAAACGACCAATGCGAGTGGTGTTTCATTTTTCTCTTGGTGTCTATTTGTGAACGCACATTCAGATGAAAAAAAAAAGCATTGCTGATAACTCCTAAAAAGGGTGCAGCACCTAGTTCAGATATCTTGTACTGTTTTAAGATTTTATTTTTAGAGAGGGAAGGCGGGGGCGGAGAGAAACATCAATGTGTGGTTGCTGGGGGCCGTGGCCTGCAACCCAGGCATGTACCCTGACTGGGAATTGAACCTATGATGCCTGGTTCACAGCCCACACTCAATCCACTGAGCTACGCCAGCCAGGGCTCTTGTACCGATTTTAAAGTGCTGTTACAATGTTCAGTTCAATAAAAAAAGTTTGCCAAAGGAACTCAGGAGGAAAAACCCAAGACACATATTTTGAATTTTAAAAATGAAACATTTAAAAAACAAGGTAAACTTTCTTCCAAAGTCAAGAAACAAATACAAGGCTTTCAATGGAAGACAGCTGTCTCTTACAGACTCTGACTTGTATTCTCTAGTCTAGACGCAGCGCCCTCCCGCCCTTACCTCTGCTCCTTTCTGCCCAGGCCCGTGGACTACAAAGAGTGCGGCAGGAGGAGCTGGGAAGAACCGAAGGGCTTCTCTGCGCCAACTCCCTCCTGTGAATCAGCCTACGGAAAGCCCAGGTCCCCCCTCCCTTTCAGCTGTCCCAGCCACGGTGAAGCTCAGAGCACCCCGAAAACCGCCTTCCGGTGTGGCAGGCTCCCTCACGTGTGTTCAGCCGCGGTTTTCTCCATTTCCAGTTCCTTCTTTCAGCGGTTCTTCCGCATGTTAATAGGCCCCCACTTGTATGGATTTGTTCTTTCCTTTCCAAAACTGTCTTCTGTCATGTCACCAGAGTTTTAAGCAGGTAGCCCTGGAAACCACTGGCCACACAGCGTCCCTCAAAATGATGTAACTTAACACCCTCTGAAGAAACAGTAAATGCATTATAAGTTTTATTTATAATGCTGGAACAAACAAGAACATTAGTTTGCTTTAAGTTAACTAGTAAAATGGAGAAAAGAGCACGAAGCTTCCTATGTACAAAAGACAAATATAAGTGAGTTTTTATTCCAAAAGAGGAATGACGACAGGTACAAAGTGATGACTTTATAAACATCGACCTAAATCATCTTAGGGAAGAAAAGACTGACACTAATTCTTTGGCATCGTCTTTTAAAATAGTTTCTTCTTGAACTATTGTCCATGAGAGTGCTTATAAATGACTAAGATGCAGACATAAAAATGCATTCCGAGATCCACTTCTGAGGACCGTTCAACTTTCCCTTCCGTTCACAGGCCACTTCGCAAGCAGTGCTGCGAGGGACAGTGGACCCGGAGCCCACGGTCCAGCGGTCAGACTCGCCTGCGCCCCTTTCCCGCTGTCGCCTAGGTGAGGCGCACTCGCTGCGTCTGTCCAATGGGAGTGACTCCGCCCACACCGCATCTGCCCAATGGGAGAGTGGCTCCGCCCACACCGGCTGCGGAGAAGGGTTCATTGGGATCCTGGCTGTGCACGCACGCGGCCGATGCCTGCCTGTAGGTGGCGCTCTACACGGCTGGTTTACAAAACTTTCTGGGGGGCAAGCAAAAGTGTTTGTAGCCGGGGACATCCCTGCTGCCGCCTCTGCTGTCCCCCTTCCTCTCCCGTCAGGGACCAAGCAGTCATAAGAAAAGGCAAGCTCTTTGAGGAACTGAGAACAGCTTCCATAAGTCATGGTCAGAAGTCTAGTTCTCACCCAGTTGTTTCTGTATTGCTTTTTGTTTTGTCTCGAGTAAGCCATTTGGTCCTCTCTCCTTTGTAAGGCGAATTCTGTTTCTTAAGGTCAACTTCTGTAACGAAATATCTTTCCTGAAACCTCTGGATTTTGAGTTTCTTTTCACGTTTGCCCTTTCTAAGAGGTAGGGTATTTACCCTATACTATTTTAATAGAATCGCATTTGCTCTCAAGTAAAACAATTTGTTTTACTTTCATTAACGTTGACACCTTTGGGCTAGCTTTTTAAAAAGCAAACTTCTAAGCAATCACATAATTCTTATGCAGTGACCCACTTAAACTTTTCTCCCTCGTCTCCAGCCTTTACAGTTGAAAAGTTCTTCTGGGATATTGCTTTGTAGCACAGCGGAAACCCTACAGAGCTCAGACCGTACCCCATCGTCTGGAAACACTGGCACCTCTATAGAATAACCCACGAGATTTGGAGCTAAGAAAAGTCAAGTTCGTCTGTGGAAGCACATGGATGACATGACAATAGGCAAAACTCTGTTCTTGGTGAAATGGACTCTGACCCAACCCAGGGCAGCGCAGCCGGCCCAGAACCTGGGACACTGGGTCTGACTTCCTGTGCGCCACCCACAGGCCCTCCTCACTCGCCGTGAGTCTTCATCACCCCTGGGCCTCGGTCTGCTGGCCTGCATGGGACCAGCTCTGGGGCCCGTTTCAGTTCCAACACCCCACGCTTCCAATTCTTCCTCGAGCCCCAACAGCACAAAGTTCCGAAGGCTCCACTCTTCCCCAAAACCTGCCGCGGTGTCCGAGTCCCCGCCCCTCAGACGTGCCGCCCCGTCAGAAAGAAGAGCGGCCGGTCCTCCTTGGCGTTGGCGGTCTGGAACTCGTCACGCAGGCGGAACTGCCACTGGTCCTCCAGCTCCAGGCGGACCACGGTCTGGCGCAGCGAGTTCCTGTCCTGACAGATCACGCACAAGGTCGCACCTGCACGGACAACGGCGGAGGCGAGTGAAGAAAACAGGTGAGTTGTGTTTTTTTCAAATAGGCTTTTTAAGATTTTATTTTTAGAGAGGGAAGGGAGGGAGAAAGAAAGAGAGGGGGAGAAACATCAATGTGCGGTTGCTGGGGGCCGTGGCCTGCAACCCAGGCATGTGCCCTGACTGGGAATCGAACCTGCGACACTTTGGTTCGCAGCCCGCGCTCAATCCACTAAGAGCTACCCCAGCCAGGGCAGAAAACAGGTGAGTTTATCCCACTGAAGCCTACTGCCTGGGTTCTGCTTGCCAAGAAGAACTGGGATGCGGCTGGGAAGGGAAGGACCCGAGGGCCCAGGGACCTCTTACGTCCTTTCGAACGCCTCATCGTCTGAGCAAGACAGACATGGAGAGGTGGCAGGCAGGCCTGGCAGCTGAGATAACGGGGGGGGGGGGGGGGGGCCGCAGAAACACTGACAAAGGAGGGATGGAGAAGGGGAACTGGAAACAGATGCTGGTCAGATCCCAAACCAAGCTTTCTCAGCCGCAGCCCTGGGTGAGCACCAGCCACCTCTAGGCCCCATCCACCTTCTCCCACCCAAGGCCACCGCCCTTCCAGGCTGAGGCAGCTCCAACCCCTCCCCGACTGACCGCGCAACCAGGGGAATGCTCCCTCTTCTTGGAGTGCTAGCGTAAACAAGACCTCATTCCTGTCCATTCACTCACTCACTCATTCATTCACTCATTCTGTCCGTTGGTCTTCTCTGCCGCCTTCCTACCTTCCTCCCTACGTGCCCCCTCCCGTTAGACAAAGCGTCTCCCCGGGGCAGAGGCCGCAGTAGACGCCTCTCACCACCGCCCAAGGGCCAGGGCCAGGGCCACGTGGTGCCCAGGAAACACCTGCCAGGCCGGGAGGTCCGAGGGAAGGCCGGCCGCCCAAGGACACGTGCATACCGGCCAGGGACCCCAGCTGCACTGGAAACATTAAGAGTCACGGAGAGGGAATGGGTGTCCCTCCAGACCACCTCAACAAGAAAGCAGTTACAGAAGGAGGAGAATTAAGGCCCAGGAGTGCGGAGAACCCCAAGACCGGGGGGGAAGAGCTCACCACCCACGGGAGGAAGCAGCACCCGTGGGGACCTGGGGGCTGGAGAGGAACACAAAGCTGCCTCACAGGAAGGGGTGTCTCCTCTCTACCCGACGGGTTTGGGGGGGACAGGGAGCCGCCCTGGAGTCCCACCCCCATCTTCCCGTACTTCCCTGGCGGTTACGTCCGCTCTCTGAGCCTCGGTTTACCCACTGGCAAAGGAGGACTACGACCAGACGTCACCTCGGAGACGCCAGGGGATGATGACAAGCACTCGAGGCAAGGGCCAGGGGAGGAGCAGGGGAAGTCACCTTTCAGGAAGTGAAACTTCTTCAAGAAGCTGGCGCCCACGAAGGAGTCACAGAGGTAGAGCAGGAGCCCGCTGAACCTGAAGTCGGAGCAGCTGACGTTCAAGGAGTGGGGCCGGGAGCTCACGTAGCACACGGAAATCTGGAGGAAGGAGAGGGAAAAAACATCGCTTTCTGGGAAATACTCGGCAATAACCATGCTAGGGCTCAGCATCTAAAACACTAGCTGCTTGGCCCAGCTCAAGGGTTTGGGGCGGCCAGAAACGGTATTTTTCTGTTACTTCCAAATCTATATCCTAAAAATCAATTCCAAGAGACTGGCCCAGATTTACATATTCGTTAACTCCTTCGAGAATCAGAAACATTTAGGCACGAAACTGGGTTTGACTCCTAACTTCTTACGTTGGGGAAAACCGCTTGCTCGCTCTCAGCCTGAGAGGAAGCCACTAGGGGGCGCTTCTGAGCCCGAGTACCGTGCCTGTGTTTGAGGCACTTCTCGGGGTGAGGGCTCCACGGGCCCCCGCGCCTGGCAGTTACCTGGGGCCCCAGGTTCAAGTAGCAGTCCACCGAGAGCACGGGGTGGCCGTGGTTCTGGAGGGCCAGCGGGAAGAAGCGGCGGCTGTGGTGCTGCAGGAACTTCTCCAGCAGCAGCTGCGCGGGCGCCGCCAGGAGCGCGTGCTTGCTGTCCGGGGCGCAGACGTACTGCGCGGGCACCACGGCGGCGGAGCTGTCCGGCGCCTGCGGTGCAGGAAGGACGGGCGTCAGCCGCTCCTGGCCACCCCGAGCCGAGAGGCCCCTCCTCCGAGGCGCCCGGGCTGCTGGGAGCCCAGGCTGGGGGGGCGGGGGGGGGGGCGCTGTCACAGGGCGCCTGCGTCTCAGGGCGGTGCTGCGAGCGCGGAACGCCTGCCTCCGCAGTGAGGTTCTCCGCAGAGAACAACTGGGCTTGACCGAGGGGGGACGCGTGGGAACCGATCAGAGCGGTCGGCAAGAGTTGCAGACACTGACCTCCCCACGTGGAAAGTTGGCTTCCCCAAAGCCCAGGGAGAAACCTCAGGGCATGGCCGGCCTCCTGCCCCCAGGTCCCCCGCCCCCCCACACTGCCCCCCAGCGAGCCCACCGCCTCTTCCACCATCATCGCCACACATGGTCCTGCCCGAGACGCTGCGGACGTGAGGGGAACCAACCAAACCCTCTGCGGGACCCTCTCCCACGGTTTGTGTCCTTGACTCCCAGAGAGAAGCCTCGCTCGTTCCCACGGCCGACAGGGTCCTGCCGCTTCCCCAGCTCATCCTCGCCCCAGCACTCTCCCCGGTGACCCTGACACCTTCTCCATGCCGACCTCAGCATCGTCTCCAGGGTGCCCCCCCCATGCCCGGACACAGTGCTCTCCCCTCATCCTCCAGACCTCCGCCTTAATGTCACTTCCTCAGGGACAGCCGCACAGACCCCCCCCCAAGAAGCTAGGTCTCCCTGTGACACACGCCCCCTTGGGGTGCTCATCACGGCGGCACCCAGCACCCCACCACGAGTTTATTTAACACCCGGCCCAGCTGCCAGGCCATGCACTCCTGAGTGAGTAAAACATCGCTAGCTGCCCTCTAAACACTCAACTGCATGATTGTATCTAAGGGAAAAAATAAGATTATGCTCCAAGTAGGAATAAAAATAAAACACCTAAGAGTTAAAAACTGATACTGAGGGAACTAAAAGGAAAATTAGTTTTCAAAGCACATCGGGCTTTTTGGTAGAAAGACTTCCCACGGTCAAGATCTGCAATCTCCCCGAATTAAACTGTAAATCTGCCACAACGGCAGTGAGAAGCCTCCGCAGTCGGGGCGGGGAGGATTTTAAATGAGTCCAAGTTCTCCCAAAAGTACAGACCTTTTATCCAAGGGTCTTACTAACTAATCGGGGAGAGAAGTGAGGGGGACTTCCGCCCCGCCAGTCCGGGGAGGGGAGGGGATGGGACTGGTGTCTGAACCCAGCCCTGGCCCAGGTCAGGGAGGGCGGCCACCACGGAGGAGATGTGGGCACGGGGAAGGACAGAGGCTGGGAGAGGCGGCTGGAGTGCAAGCTGGCCGATGTCATCGGGGCACGATTTGAGGCCGATGGGGGTGAAAAGCAAAGAACAGGGCTCTGGCCAGTGGACGGGAGACACCCCGGAGCAGGGATGCACATGACTGCAGCTCCCCAGCCCGGACCCTGCCTCCCCCCACCCAGGGCCGGCCCACGGACGACAGCTCGGCCATCAAGCCAGCCTGTCAGGGCCACTCAGACAGTGTCTGGCCAGGCGCTGCCCCAGGGGCCCAGAGCAGGCCGTGCACAGCCCAGAGCCCCATCTAGCGGAGACCCTGCCGGAGACAGGAGCAAGCACAGGCGCGGTGAGGCAGGCGTGTGCAGGAAGCCCCCCGGGAGTGTCCGGGCACACGGGAGGGCACAGGGCAGACGCAGCTGAAGGCCCTCGCTGCCACGACCCAGGGGTCAAGCCCACGCCCCCCAGACCGACTGGAAGGCGAGCATGTGGCCTCCCGCCAGCTCCCACCCTCAGTCTCGTGCCACGAGGGCCAGCCCGGCAGCAGAGCCAGCGGCGGGGGGCGGGGCGCGGGGCGCGGGGCGCGCGGCCGACCCACCTTGGCGGCGATGTGGAAGGCGCGGTGCCCGCCCACCGCGATCTGCTGCTTCGTCACGCTGAAGCGGTTGAAGCGGCAGAGCAGCAGGCCGGCGCTGTGCGCCCGCAGGTTGAAGTCGACGTCGTCACACAGGAACCTGCGCGGGGCCACAGGGGGGACGGTCGGGCCGCGGGCCGCCCACACGCCGCCACGCCCCGGACCCCGGGCGGGGGCGGGGCCCGCTCCCGCCCCCGCCCTGCAGGACTCCGCCTGGGGAGGCGCAGAGGCAGCACCAACGAGGGACACGCACGGACTGGGATGTGCCCGCGCCCCGGGCGAGGCGGGGGGTCCCCACGGCGTCGACCGCGGGACTGCAGTCTGCTGACCGTACTGGCTCGGTGGGAGGACCTCACAAACACCCTTTCACCGATTCGTTAAGGAAGAAAAGGGAACCTCCCAGGGTTAAAGACAAAAAACTAGCCACTTTTTACAGCGGAGCAAACAAGGCTCCCTCCAGAGCCAGGGCATCAGGGCACCCGGGTTCCTAGCAGGTCGGTCTGGCTCCGAACCAGACACCCCTACACGGGCCGCCCCGGGGGGCGGGCCCCGACCGGGCACAGGGACGCTCGATGGGCGTCGGTGATGGGGTTAGGCTTGAGATATGAGCACTTCTGCGGCTCGGTGTGTAGAAAGCAACACACAGAAATCCCTTTACAGCTTTCTTCGGTGCTAATGCTCCTAAAAAGCGATGTGCTCAGAGGAAGCCAAAAAAGCAACACACGTAAATACACGGTACAATGCAAGTCACAAACGTAAGTGACTCCCAAAATGTAAGTCCAGGACAATGCAAGTCACTGAAGCATGTATGGTGTGACTCCATGAGGGAAGCTGAACGGTCTTATGTGAATCTCCCCTCCACAGACTTACATGACAAAAATACAGAAGGGGGGGGAGGGAGGAAGGGAAGGAGGAAGGAAGGGAAGAAGAGAAGGAAGGAGGAAGGAAGGGAAGAAGAGAAGGAAGGAGGAAGGAAGGGAAGAAGAGAAGGAAGGAGGAAGGAAGGAAGGAAGAAAGGAGAAGGGGAGGGAAGGGAAGGAGAAGGGAAGGAGAAAGGGAGGAATGGAAGGAGAAGGGAAGGAGAAAGGGAGGAATGGAAGGAGAAGGGAAGGAGAAAGGGAGGAAGGGAAGGAGAAAGGGAGGAATGGAAGGAGGGAAGGAGGAATGGAGGGAGGGGAGGGAGGAACTTAAAGCTGAAATCAGGACCAAGGCCAGTGCCACAGGCGGGCACCTCTGGCTCCCTCGGCCCTGCAGGGCAGGGAAGAAGCCACCCTCCGCTGGCCTACGCTGCCCCCCACCGAGGGCTGTGGGCCGTGCTGGCGGCCGCCGTGGGGCGGGAGGCTCACCGGTTCTGGTTGTACTGGACGTTCTGGGTCAGGTCCACGTTCAGAACGACGAAGTCGTGCACGTGGCAGCGGGAGAAGGGCTCGCGCACCTCTCGGCTGCCGGCCTTGCTGGACCACTTCCGCATGCCGATCAGGGCGTAGTGCGTGATGTCGGGGGCCGCCTCGATGTGCTGCATGATGTACTTCAAGGAGACGTTCCTCTCCGACCAGGAGAACTCTCTGCTGGAAGGACGGAGACGGACACCTCCAGGTCAACGCACAAACAAGGTGAGGCCCTGGGGCCTGGCCGGCCAGGACGCTGCCCTCTGGCCGACCCTCACAGACCGGGCAGGGCTGGTGCAGGTAGAGCCCATCACAACCTTGGCTGAGGGCCAGGAGCCAGGCTGAGCACCTCGAGCTTATTAGCATTGGTCCTCCCAGCAACCAGGTGACACAGGCAGCCGCCCCGCCCGTGTCACCGCGGACAGAAGACAGGCTGCAAGTGACCTGCACCGTGCCGCCCCCCAGAGCCTGGGCGTGAACACCTGCTGCCTCCAAAGCCCTCACCCTCGGTTGGGCCAAACCACCGCGCCTCCCCGGTGTGCGCGTCTGAGGGTGCAGTGGAGGCAGAGGGCAGAGCTTTCTACTGCGAATTCCAAGTGAGAGCGTGGGGAGGGGGTGGCAGCACAATGCCTGTGACCCCACAGGACGGTGTCGGAAGTCTGGCAGGACAGTGAGGGACAGTGAGGGACAGGGATGACCAGGGAGGGGGACTCTGGGGCTGTAAGTCGGGGACGAGATTCAGGCCCACGAGGGCCCAGGCAGGTGGCCCTGCTTTTCTGGGCCTCGGCTTCCCTTTCCCTGCCTGGAGGGCTTTAGCTACACTCTGAGTCTCCTGCTCGACGTGACATCCAGGACTTCTAATGCTGTTTCAGAATGCAAATCAGACCCTGGCTGGCATAGCTCAGTGGATTGAGCGCGGGCTGCAAACCAAAGCATTGCAGGTTCGATTCCCAGTCAGGGCACATGCCTGGGTTGCAGGCCACAGCTCCCAGCAACCACATATTGATGTGTGTGTGTGTGTGTCCCACCCTCCCCTCTCTAAAAATAAGTTAAATCTTAAAAAAAAAAATGCAAATCAGGAAGGCACAAGGAAAGCTCCACCCCTTCCCCCTTGGCCCTCAGCTGAGCTCCTGCCCTTGCAGGGTGACCGCGAGAACGGCGAAAGCCAGGCAGGTTGCTATCCCTCCTCAGTCACCTGCCACTCCGTCACACGGAACACACTTTTTCTAGGAAAACAGTGACCGAGGGTTGTGTTGCACCAGGCCACCCCTGACAGCAAGGAGGAGAGCTGACCTAATGGTGGCCCTCTCAGAAACCAGCCACGCACAGAAGTCCTCGGGCAGCCCTACGCGGACACAGCAAAATCACGGGAACTGCTTTTATGGGTGATGTTCAGATACCACGGCCTCTGCTGAGCCCTTCCCATGTGGCGCCGCTCGCCGCGGGCACGCCCCCCAGATGCGCTGACCCTCACGACAAACCAGCACAGGTGTTAGCATTCCTTGGAAACCAGAAGCCAGAGAGAGCCCACGTCACACAGCAAGTAAAACACAAGCAGGTGTGGGAGGAAGGGGGGCTGGGGGGGGCGGGAAGGGGGGCTGGGGGGACAACTGGAGGGGGCCCTGGGGGTGGTGAGGGTCCCTTTCTTCACAGGGGCGTTGGTTAAGTGGGCATGTTCAGTTTGTGACAATTTCTGCACAGGACGTTTTTCTTTTGCATATATTTTAATTTGAATAGATACGTTGTGGTTTCCCATACAGATTCAGTAAAATTTTTTAAAAATTTAAAACTCCATTGGGAGTAAAAGGAGAAAACTGTACTTGAAAAATGATTTAAAAAAAATTTAAAACTCCAGTCCTTGCTGGTGTGGCTCAGTGGGTTGGGCGCTGTCCCACAAACCAAAAGATCACCAATCGATTTTAGGGCACACGCCTGGGTTGCGGGTTCGGTCCCTCGTCAGGGTGTGTGAGGGGCGACCAATCAATGTTTCCCTCCCTCTCTATCCCCTCTCTCTAAAATAAACAAATACATAAATAAGTTTTAAAACAATTTTTTAAACCCCAAGTAAAGCTTGGAATGTAAGTCTGCCGCATCCAGGCCTCTGTCCCTACATGCGGAGGTTTTTTTTTCTTTTTAAGATTTTATTTTTTAGAGAGGGAAGGAAGGGAGAAAGAGAGAAGCATCAATGTGGGGTTGCTGGGGATCATGGCCTGCAACCCAGGTATGTTCCCTGGCTGGGAATCAAACCTGCGATGCTTTGGTTCGCAGCCCGCGCTCAATCCACTGAGCTATGCCAGCCAGGGCCCTACACGCGGAGCTTTCTAACAGGAGGGCCCTCCCTGGTGGTCCTTGCGGGGTGGCGGGGCGATCCCCACTGAAAAGGAGACCAAGGGCCCCGGTCTTACTCCCGGGCTTGGGGAGGCACCTCACCTGCTCCTCTCCCCACCACCATCGACGTCCACCACGTTCCACATCACGCAGGAGTCATCGGAAATCACGATGAAGGGCCAGATGTCCTGCGGCCTGATGCCAAGCTCCTCCTGCCGGGTCCGCTCCAGCTCCAGATTGTGGTAGGACAGCTCCTTGATCAGGAAGTGGGCGGCGCCTGCACCGGGCAAAGCCACCCCCACCAGCTCAGCTCTGGGCCCCCGGGCATCGTCACCCAGGAAAGCGGCCCCACCCCAGGACCTGCAGCCCCGAAGGTCAGTCCTCGCCCACCCACACCCCTCTCCCACTGGCTATTATTAGCTGTGGATTGGGGGGGGGTGGAGAATTCTAGGAGACAAAACACGCCTCTCTGAGGGGCATGTGCATGCCTGTCTGCTTATCCTCGCTTTTCTGAACGTGAATCGAGAGCACGAATGAAATCAACCACCAAACATCAAAGGAGAAAGGAGGGTCAAATCAAAATGCTGTACAAGTCAAAAGACTTGACAAAAGACGTTCAACCCACCGTGGCTGGTGTAGCTCAGTGGATTGAGCACAGGCTGCGAACCAAAGTGTCACAGGTTCGATTCCTGGTCAGAGCACATGCCTGGGTTGCAGGCCATGGCCCCCAGCAACCGCACATTGATGTTTCCCTCCCTCCATCCCTCCCTTCCCTCTCAAAAAAAAAAAAAAAAAAAAAGGCCCTTCAACTCTGCCCACCCCAGAACACCCGGGGAACACCCTCCCGGGTCGGGTCTCCTCTCCCGGGAACCGGACGGGCAGGGCAGCGAGAGGCGCCTACCCACGCCGGCGCTGTTGAAGGCGCTGGGGAGCACCAGCATGATGTGGTTGGGCCAGTACTTCTTGTACACGGGCATCTCGTACTCCTTGACGACCAGCACGTGCAGGTGGCTGGCGCCGTCCATTGCGTGGTACAGGTTGAAGAGCCCGTGCTCATGGCGGCCGGTCGTCGGGGTGAACGTCGGGCTCTTTATGTGTTCGTGGCTCTGGAAAGGGGGGGGCGTGAGGAGGGCACGTGTTTCTGAACGCGGTTGCGGTCACGATCCCTCCCCTCCCTCTGAAGGGTCTGTATCTCCGGACTCCCTGAAGCCAGCGGAGCCTCGCTCTTTGCTGGGGAGATGCGGTAAAAAGGACGGGGCCTGGGGCCTGCGGCCTGCTTGCCGCGCCCTCCCCGGGAGCCAGCCTGGGCGATCCTGCTGGAGAAGGGAGACCGCGGGGAGCAGAGATGGGTGGCCCACCCAGACCACCCGAGCCCAGCCGGCCCTGGCCCGCCTGGGAGCTCGCTGCAGGCACGAGGGAGCTCAGCCCAGCCCAGGGTGACCGCCCAGCGGAACCGAGCCCAGCCTCCCGGCCCCCGGGATCCGAGGCCAAGTGAATGCTGACTTGAGAAGGGTTTGTTAGCCCGGACTGATGGGCATGTACCGGTCGCCCCAAGTCGCTGCCCTTCCACATGAGCACCCAGCCTCGTGCCGGGGGCACAGGCATTTCTGCGGGACTTCAATCCCCAGCCACCGACTCACACACCCTGCCTATTTATACACTCAGGATGCGCTTTTTTTTTTTTTAAGATTTTATTTATTTTTAGAGAGGGAAGGAAGAGAGAGAAACATCAATGTGGTTGCTGGGGGTCATGGCCTGCAACCCAGGCATGTGCCCTGACTGGGAATCGAACCTGCAGTGCTTTGGTTCGCAGCCCGCGCTCAATCCACTGAGCTACGCCAGCCGGGAGGATGCGCTTCTTTTACGTGAGGAACCATGTGGCCCTGACCAGCGTGGCTCAGTTGGTTGGGCGTCATCCTGCAAAGCAAAAGGTCACCGGCTCGATTCCCAGTCAGGGCATGTGCCTGGGTTGCAGGTTTGGTCCCTGGTCAGGACATGTATGAGAGGCAACCCATTGATGTCTCTCTCTCTCTCTGTGTCTCCTTCCCTTCCCTCTAAAAAGAAAATCTTTAAAACACCGCTGCAAAGCCGCGGTGCCCCTGGCGCCCACAGCCTGTTCCGGTAGAACTGGGTGGGGGTGGGAGTGGGGGTGGAAGTAGGGAGTGAATCCCTGACCTTGGCAACACCCAGCTCGTGGGGCAGGGGGCGCCACGCCATAAAGGTCTCCTCAGCACTGTACAAACGTTTTCAGGGCTCGGTCACCGGGCCTGAAAGGCAGGCTCAACCCTGCGACGTCTGGCCCTGGGAGCAGCAGCAGTGCCCCCAACTGGGCCGCGGTGATGGGAGCCGGTTAACAGGCAGAGAATTGGCTGAGACCGTCGGGCTGGAACCATCCAACCCCATGTCCCCGGGAGGCGCGTCTCTGAAACAGCGGTGGTTCTAGAGGTGACGGATTACTAAAACCCATCTCACAGACGGAGAGCAGGATGACAGCTACAGGGGCAGGGGGAGGCTAGCAGGGGGAAGGATGCTGCAAAAGGAGGAAGGACTCACGAACATGGACAACCGTGTGGCGACTGCTGCGGGGAGTGGGGTGTGCAGAGACTCAATAGTAATGGGGGAAAATACAATAAAGACTTCAAAGTAAGTACAAGTGAAAAGAATGATCTCTTCAAAAGAGGAAGCTTCTCCTGCAGAGATGCGAACTACAGCATGTGTAGGGAACGTGATAATGATGCCAGGGACTGGCTTCCCAACGATACGGGGAGGCAGGAGAGCAGGACAGACGCCGCCACAGGACAGACAGCGCTGCTACAGGACAGACGCTGCCGCAGGACGGGCCCTGAGTCCGTAAACGCCGGAGCGGGGGCCGGAGCCTGGCCCTGCGGGAGTCACACTGCTCCACCACTGGGCCATCTGCACGTCGCCCAGCAGAGGGCGCTACGGAGAAGGGAGTGGACGGAGGAAGCTCGCCCCGCCTGTATCTCCCCAGCGCCGCGCTGGCAACGTCTGTCGGTTATGCCCATAAACCTCACCGCAGACTTCCTGCCCGGCCTTACAGGTGAGGCAGCCGAGGCTCTGAGACGTTAGGTGTGACGTTCAAGCAACACGGCCAGCGAACGGCGGAGCAGGCCTCCACCTCGGCTTGAGTGACCCCAAAGCCCTTATGCTCCCCAGCCGCCTCCACACCGGTCCCTCCAGCCCGACTCATGGGGCAACTACAGTCTCTAGGTGTCCGGCTCAGCGGTCCCTCGCGCCCGCTCTGCTCTGACCCCCCCTCCCCCCGCCCCCGGACGCGGCGCCAGTACCTGGTCCGTGACGAGGGGCAGCCGCATGCTCTCCAGCTGGCCTCCGGGCTGGCGGAAGACGAAGTGGTGCTCCTTGGACTTGGGGATGATGAAGTGCAGCTGGACCTCCTCTCCTAGCATGGAGTAAGAGAAGGCAAAGGCGTGCAGGGTGGACTCATAGAGCTGGGGTGCGAGGGGGAAAGGACAGAGCTCGTCATTGGCGTCCGGCGTGACCGCCCCGAAGACCCCAGGCCCATCCTGGCCGCGACCGCACGCAGGTCACGGCCGCCTCTGCCCCACAGCACGAGCAGCCGCGCGGGGCGACACCCGGACAGGGGGCGGACACCCGGGCCTGGCTGCTGGAGGCCACGCCCACTCGGCTGAAGCCGGGACCTACTGGCTAATCCTGATGGCGCTTCCCCAGTGACGTCACTTCACCCAGGGGCGCCACTTCCAGCGCCAGGAACTCTGGACTCGACTCAGAGTGCTCGGTTAGCTAGATCACACTTTCAGGTCTAACAAACGTATTTTTTCATCTTGCATAATCACACGCGCAGTAGCAAATTACTACAAGATTTGGACACACCTAGGTACCCCCTCCCCCTCACTGCGCCCTGCGCCCTGCGCCCCCTGTTCCCTCTGCGTTGTCACTGACAGTCCTCCGAAGCAGGCCCCGTCATCGGCCCCACGTTACGGAGGCGGAGACTCACATTCAGAGGTCTGGGGCTCACCCCTGTCCCCAAGTCTGGCCTCGCCTCTAGTTACTTTATCCGAAGAGCCCACCCCTCAGGCTGCTTCTGTGCCTGCAGCTCTCTGGTGCGACCTCCCCTCCTGGCTCTGCCCAAGCCACGCAGCGCCTCCTGCAGACCTCACTGGGCACCACAGCGGGGGCCTTCCCCTCCCTCGCCCTGCCCGCCAGTGTGTGCTGCACACTCCCGGGAATGACAGGCCCCAAGAGGGCGGACTCTTGAGTCCTCCCGTGGCTCCTCCAGAACCACAAAGCCCTCTGGGAGCAGAGAAGAGGGAAAGATAGACTTGCACTTGGGGAGGGAGCACAGAGGGACGCAGCTGAGGGAATTTCACAAAAAGGTCCCAGGAGCGTTGGGGGACGAAGGAGGGAGCAGAATGAGCAGAGGGAAATGGTGTACGCCCCACAGTGCTCCTGGAGGCTCAGTGTGGGCCCCCTCAGCTGTGGCCCCCGGGTCTCAGCTCAGCTCACCTCCTCCCTCTGCCACTCACCCTCCATGATTCCCTGGGGACAATTTCTGAAGTGACAAAAACCCCTACTGCCTCGCGAGGTTCCACTAAGAATTAAATAAACTAGACAGGACAGTTTCTAACCCCGTGCACCCTGAATGGATTACAGGTGTGGCTTCCACGCAGACTGGCTCGGGGGACCAGCTGGGGCCCTGGGCCAGTGTCCAGGGCGAATGACCCTTTCCAGCAGGTACACAGGTTGGGAAACGCTGAGATAGAAAAGTGCCTGGGAGACGGCCCAGCACACAGTCGGTGCTCAGTAAGTGCACACTCCTCTATCTACACCGGCTCTGTGCTCAGCCGCACCGCCCTTCCGGCGGGCTCACAGCGTCCTGAAGTGCTGCCCACACACACCTCCGTCCCCACGCCGTGAGGGGTGAGAAGTGGGGAGAGTGGAAACGAAGCTGATTCACCTCCGCGTGCGCATCTGGTACGCGCTGGGCTGGCCAAGAAGTCCGCTGCGTTTTTTCCCAAATGATGGCTCTAGTTGTGCTTTGTCGTCTTTAACTTTATTCAGGACAATTTTGTTACACTGTATTGTGACAGCTGTCATATCAGCATGCATTTAAAAAAAAAACTTACCAAAATTGGTAAGTTTTTGTGCGGCCATTTTAACATTAAATAGGGAAGGAATGATGCAATGTTTTTGGTGTGTTATGCTTTATTATTTCAAAAAAGGCAAAAAAAAAGCTTGTGCAGTGTGTGGAGAAGGTGCTGCGACTGATGGAACGTGTCAGAAGTGGTTTGCGAAGTTTCCTGCCACAACTGACATTTTGGCCAAATAATTCTCTGCCGTGGGGCTGTCTTAAGCACTGGAAGATGTTTAGCAGCGCCCCTGGCCTCTCCCCAGCAGAAGCCAATAGCAGGAGGTAGCCGACATACTCAAAATGTCCAAATCAATCGAGTCAGTGGTGAAAAGGAAAAACGTGCCTTTTGTTTTACTGGAAACAGTGATCGGACTTCTTGGCCCGCCCCACACCAAGCACGCGGGGAGTGTCCGCCGCGTGCCTGCCCTTTCCGAACTGCTAGGACGCAAAGACAATCAGACAACCGAGTGGCTGCAGGCAGCTCCCCCTGCTGCTCATGCACGAGGGGCCCTGGAGAACCGCTGCTCTGTAGCGTTGGCGGTGAGCCCACCGATGATGGGAGGGAAGTGAGGACGCTAGCAGACCGGGAACCAAGGGCTTCCCGAACTTTCCATCCCCGACCCAGGAATGAACGCACAGACAGGGAAACCACAGTGGCGGCGGCGCCACGGAGGCGGAACGCAGGCGCGGCGCCCCGCGGCCTACCTGGTGGCGGGGGTGGAAGCCCATGTACTGGTGGCACTGCTCGCAGTGGTGGTAGGTGTTGTAGGCCGCGTACTTGGACAGCCGCATGCGCGCCGTCTGGCGCCGCACGTAGAGGTCCTCCGGCCTCCGGGGCGCCCCCCTATCTGCAGGAAACCCCGGCGTCACCGAGTGGCAGAGGCAGGCGGGTCACGCCCTCCTGCGGCTCCTAGGCAACCACTGGAAGCGCTAGCACCCGGTTGGAGGGGGTCGCCGGGGGCGGGGCCCAGCTGGGCAGAAACAAGAAGTCTCTGCGGGATAAACTGAAACTATTTCCACGTCGCCTGACTCGTGAACCTGGGAACGTTTTATCAATGTACGGGACTATGGAGACTGACTGCCCGTGTGATACACAGGGACTTGTCCCCATTTTTTCCAAGTGACGTCTCCTGCTGAACTGGCACCAGAGACGAGCCTACAGGGAGGGGGTCCCAACAATGATGGGATCGAGGGCCACGGGGACCAAAAGCGTCGGTTTGAAACGGACACTGGTGAGTATCCGCCTCACACGCCGTGTGCACCGAACTGTCCTATCAGTGTTTGCTACCACACTGGCCACTAACAACATCCCGCTGGCTGACGGGGACCCTGAAACACGGCTGGGTCACAATGCAGTGACAGCGGCCCCTGTGGGAGGCGGGAGGAAGCAAGCGGGAGGCTTGAGGGAGGAGAGGGAAATAAGCATTTTGTCGCCAAGACCCAAATTCACAAATAAAGGTACATGGCCCGTGCCCTCTGCAAACCAGGGCCCCGCCAGTGACAACCAGCCGGCGTGTCCTCACTGCCATCGGACTCCCTGAGTGGCCAGTCCTCCTTCCTGGGGAGCCCCCTTCTCCATCCAGGGAGCCGCCGACCTCAGCGCTGGCCGCTGCTGACCAGCTCACCCCCGCTGGATCCTCACGTCCACCACTGACAAAATCTGGCCGGTTCCCGTCAGGGGCCGCCCCCACGTGCCCCGGAAGATGTTGCAAGTCTGACCTTCACTCTTCACGCTCGGGTGGTGAGAGCAGATGAGGCTGGCGTCCTCGTACTTGGGGTCGTGAACAATGTAGTCGAAAGGCAGCTTCTTGAAGAGCTCCAGGTCTGGCCAGGGGTCACTGAGCTGCAGGTAGTGCCAGTCGGGCTCCTCTCGGGGGTCTACAGGATGGGGGGATGGGGGGATGGCCAGAGTCGTGACACAGGGAGAAATGGGACGGGCTCACTTCAGACGTGCACAGGGCGGGGGGTGTGGAGTGGAATGGAGCGGTGACAGTCTGTGGCTCTCTGGGGGCACACCACGGCACCCTGAGGACACGAGCGCGTCTGGGGACTGTCCCCCTGAGGCGGGGAGGCCCGTTAGGCGTGATCTCCACCCAGAGCAGCAGCCGCGTTTGCCACGAGACGGCCCTGTTCTTCTGACCCGTGGCCACTGCAGGTCCTCCCAGCACACCCGCCCTCCCGGTGCCCCGTGCCGCTCCCCAGCACCGCCTCCCGCACGCACCACGCTGGTCCCCCGCACCCTCGGAGGCCCATGTACTTCTTGTTCTTGCATCTACATGCTACCCGGCCGTGCAGCCCAGCCCCAAGCCCCGAGTCTCTGGAAGGCCTCTTCTAAGAGCTCAGGTCCCCCATTCCCCCCCCGCCCGTGAACACCAGCACTGCCCTGGCCAGCACGGCTCTTCTCCAGGTCCCACGTATCACCTTACGTGGTAACCGGCCTGGGCTACAGGTGCTCGCTGAACGCTTGTGGGTCAAAGGCCAAACAAAGTCTAGCTGGCCCAGCTCGAATCATGTAACGTATTGGGGTTCCGTGTATGTTCTATGCCCCTCTCCCCCCTTGGGCACTGTACACATGGGCAGAGTGCACGGCCCGTGGGAGGAAGAGGAGGAGGAGGAGAGGGGTGTTCACTGTGTATTTGGCGGAGCTCGGTGCTGCGTGTAAGTAACGTCACATAGTGTCCGCAGCACCCTGCGGAACAGGAGTTACAGGAGGTAACAAACTGCGCTTCCGGGTTTCACAGACCGGGTTCGAGCCCTGTCTTCATGACTGGGATCTCTCCCGGGGAGGAGGAGACAGCAATTCAACAGGCCTGGTCTCATCTGCATGTTTACCAGCCCAAGTTCCTGGCCGCCGGGAGACACCCGAGGGTGGGGGGGATGGGAAACAAAGGCCGTGCCCCGAGACAGCATACACCAGCCGGTTGAAGGGTCTTGCCTCCGTGAGGGTAAACTCTGTCTCGGGCATGAGGAGAAAAGGCCGTCCCCGTGCATCGCACAGAATTTCCGTGTTGCCCCGTGATACTGCCCTGTGCGCTCAGCCGCCCAGCCGGCAGGGGTGTGTGTGTATGGGGGGACCCCTGATGGAGGGCCCCACTTTCTGGAGGCAGCAGCACTCAGATCCAGGTTCCTTCCAGCTCCGCCACCTCCCGGCTGGGCTCCTGAGCACAGGACTCACAGGGAAACGGATACAGCTGTTAACTTACCGGGAACCACCACAGTGTGTGTAAGAACTTTAAACGTGGTCATGGTTACAGGGCACCCAGCACCGTGCCTAACACAGGGGACCCCCTCAGCCAAGGGTGGCTAGTTTCAGTAGCTTTAGCCCCACAAGGGCCTCCCACACACCAGCCTGGTCTTGAGCAAAGTGACTACCCACCACTAGGCCCCCTGGGGGGCGTCTGATCGTGAACCTGACAATTTCACTCGGAAAGACACCAAGAAAGTCCCCTGAGAAACTGACTAAGGAGGACTCCGAGCCCCAGCGCCGCCAGGGGGTCAGACTCACGGATGTTGATCTCTTCCTCGTCGTACACGTCCACCTCCGTGAGCCGGACGAGCATCCTGGACAGGATGCCGAGGAACTGCAGGTAGGCGCCTGTCTTCCCGATCTGCGAGCACAGGAGGTGGGAGGGGGCGGAGCCAGCCGTCAGTCCGCCCCGGTCGCCGCCCTCTGTGCAAGGCCTCGCCCGATCCTCGCCCCCTAGGAGCACTAGCACCCGGCGGAGGCTTCGACATGCAGCGTCAGGAAGCGCGGTGGGCGAGCAGGCGGATGAACACTCAGGAGAGCGCAGGGATCCCCGCCCCCCACCTGCCGCTCATACATCGCTGCCGGTGGGTCTCCAGCTTTCACCAGCCACATTTTTCACGCTGTTAGAAATGGGACTTCAATCGCCAGGTGAAGAAAGTTTGCTTCAGAGAAAAGAAACCGCCAGTACGAAACATCATTTCTTAAGAGTCCTGCATGTTGCAAAGGACTCTTCTTGCCCTAGTCGGTTTGTCCCCAGTGAGAGAACAGGAACATGAGATGCCAGCACCTCCTCCGAGGTCCAGGAAAAAGTGGTCTTTCTCTTCCTCCTCCTCTTTTCTCATCACGTCCCCCGAGCCCTGAGCTGAGCACCACGCGAGTCTACGTAGGTTTATTTTGGCCACGGTTGGTTAGATGAGCAAGCGCCTCCTGGATTCCCCAGAACGCTCCCCGCCCCCACCCTGTAGCTCCAGGGCCATGCCCTCCAATTCCAGGCTCTACGCCCGGTTCACCGTCAGTGCGCAGCAAATGCTGGTGAACGCAAGCAACTTTGAAAACAAAAATACGAAACACGGCCAGGGCAAGCGTCAGAGACAATACCTGCAAAACACACTAAACAAAGGGTCTGACCCTCTCTAAAGAGCTTCCACCGCAGGAAAAAGTGAAATGGCCTCACAGAGAAAGAAACCAGAAAATACCAATGTTCAAGAAATACCCATGACAGATAAATAAAAATATATTCGACCTTACTAATAAAACAAAATACTGTTTTCCCCCTATCAAATAGGTAAACATCTTCGTGACTGATTACATGAACTAATGAGAGGGTATGGAGAAACCGGTACCCGTTTTTTTAAAAAAACTTCTTCCTGTGTTAAAGATAAATGCTCACGTAAAAGTTCAAGAAATACAGGTCAATAATGAGGTAGAATATTCGCAAATCGCATGCCCCTACCTGCACCCCCCCCCCAAGGATTTAATGGACTTTCTGTCGGGGGCTGTTTCAGGCCCATTCACACACAGACACACGGTACACATGCCCATTTGTCTTTCCTAATTGACATCGCACCATGTAGCAAGTGGCCTGCTGTTGCCAGGGAAACGCAAGGGGCGGGGATGCTGACAGCCAACCTGCTACACCGCACCCCACGCCTTCCAGCGTTAGCCAGCCGGTCTCACGGACTGGCTTGGGGACCGAATGGGACAAGGTGGGAAATGCAGAATCGTCATCCGAAAGAGCCAGAAGCACCCAGAGAACCCGCCCACCCTCCACTTCACCGGGGGAAGAAACTGAGGTGAGAGGTGAGAGGTCAGGGGTCACCCAGGCCCTGGCCTCCGTCCACCTGCCCACAGAGGAACCATCACAGAAGACGTTGCCCTGGGCACGGCAGCCCTACGCCCCCGGGTCTGCGCACAAGGACCCACAGGGGCCGGGCCACGGCCACGCGCACCCACCTGAGGGGGCCCGCTGAGCAGCAGCCGGCGGGGGTGGAAGCCGTCCACGCGGCCCTCGGCGCGGCCGCCGTAGTCCATGTGGCTGGGCCGCGGCACCGTCCACTGCCGGTAGTACAGGGACTGCTCCGTGGAGGTCATGGTCTTGCTGAGCAGCGGGCGGAAGGAGCTGGCCCACATGACCAAGGGGGAGGGCAGCAGCGAGGCGGCCTTGGGCAAGCCGCCGCTGTCCGTGGCCGTGACCATGTCATACACCAGCTTGGGCAGGAAGACGACGGGCGGCTGCCGGCAGGCCTTGGCCAGGGAGCACCGGGGGGCCTGCGGGGCCTGGGGGCCGGTGGCAGGCGTGGCGGACGAGGAGGAGGAGAGCTGGGATGACGAGGCAACCTGCACCTGGACGCCCCTCTGGCTGGTCTTGAGGCCGGAGTCAGGCTGCTGGGGGGCCAGCCCGGGGCTGTGCCTGCTCACGCCCGACGGGGGCCCCTGACCGCCTCGGAGCCTCTGCTTGTCGCCGGGGGCCCTGCCCTCCTCTGAAGGGCCACAGGGCTGTGGGGACCGGGCCTGCTCCCCCTGCCAGGGCCCCCCCAGCTGAGCCGAGGTCTCGCCGCCAAGTGCTGAGCCTGGGGAGAGAAACCCATCGGTCACGTCCAAGGAACGGCCCATCCCGACGCCTGCCGGCCTCCTGTTTCTGCAGCACGAACTGCCCTCACTGGGCCATCGCTGGGCTTTTTGTCAGTGAGATCCCTCCGCTGGTGATGCAGCCTCTTCTGTCCTATGACTTGCCCAGGATCCGCTCGTGGGAGCCAGCTGGTGACCCCCACAGGGTGTGATCCTCACCCCCTAACACCCGCCACACCCCCCCCAAAAGGCCTCTCCTTGCCACTCCCTTCCTGCCCTGCAGGAGGGGGACGGAGATAGAAACCGAAGGCCCCTCCCCCAGGCCAAGTCCCCTGCTGTGCTCTGCACAAACACCCCCCCACACCTCACAGCCTTGCAGCCACACCCTGACCCCACCCCACCCTGCGCACTCCTCAGGGCCACTCCCTGAACCCAGGCACCTTCATGCTTTCAGCAACCTCACCCTCTGAAGCTTTCCCTCCCTAGAATACCTTCTCCCTGCGCCTGCAACGCCTCCTTCCCCATCTGTAACACCTGAAGTCTGGTGTCTACCTCTCTGCACTCCGGGATCTACAAGAACATTCCACCTTCCTCCTCTCTCCTCCTGATTACCCAAACCTGGGGAGCCCCAAGGGGGTGGTCCCCTGTGGCCGCCCCACACAGGCCACTGAACAGGACCGAGTCCACAGTCCTCCCCCAGAACCGGGGCCGCGGTCCCTTGGGGTCCTGCCGAAATGCCACGCGCTCTCAGGCCCCAGCCCAGAAAGACGCTCACTCTCTGGCAAGTCCCCTTCTTCTGAGATCCCACCTCTGTCCAGTTCCGGGCGGAAGCAAAGGATCTCCGGATGCATCTCTGAGCTCATTCTCCCCGGGACACTCACCGGGCGCCTTCGAGGAGAAGCCGGAGGATGCCGACTCGTGGGAGCAGGACCGCCCCCTCTTCACGGGGCTCCTCTTCTCCGAGGGGCAGCCTGTGCGGAGACACACACGCCTGTGCGAACGCCCGGAAGGCATCGCCCGTAGGCCCACCCCGCACGAACATGTACCTTCCCACCCACCGCTGCTCCCCATCCTCGCAGCCACCCTCCTGCCCCTCAGCATCCAGGTGCCCGCATCTGACAGCACTGAGAGGACCGAAGGAGGAAGGAGCAGGACGGGGCAGGGCAGGCCAGCGAGGAGTCCCTGTCTCAGTGGGGACCCCCCACCCAAGGGTCACAGCTACAGGATGACATGAGGAGGACGGAGAGAGGGACCAGGCCCCCACACAGCACAGAGGCAGGGAAGGTGAGGAAGGGAGAGAGGACCCCGACCAGAGTCCGGAAGGGTCAGCAGGGGTGTCCAGGTCAAGCACAGAGGAGTGGCCCCGGGGGGACAAGGGCAGAGCACAGCCGGGTAACCCGAGGCTGGCTGTGGCATTTTGGGGCTGCAGAGTTCTGAGCAGCGGGGAACAGTGACTCGCAGGAGGTGGACTAGAAGGCCAGTCCAGGGGTGTGGATTCACCCCACGGGCAGCAGGGGGCACAGGCACTGGAACGGCAGGGTAGGTACATGTTCGTGTGTGACTGCCCCTGCCCCGGGGAAGTCGGCCGGGCAGGGGCTGCAATCCCCACTTCACAGAGGGCCACGCAGAGGCTGGGACAGGGCACCCGCCACAGGGGCAGCAGGTGGCAGAGGACAAGAAGCTCGGTGTTCCGGCCCGACACCCCTCCCTCCACTCCACCACGCCCAAGGGCTGTGCCCTTGTGTGTTCAGAGCCTTTCTCCCCTCGCTGTACTGCTGAGCACACACAGCCAATGCCTCTGCCCGCTCTGCCCTGCGTGCCCTCCCACCGCATGGTGTCAGGTCTTCGAGTCTGCCCACGCGACTGGCCTGCTTTCACACGTCTCAGCAAGGGGCACGAGCAGCCGGGTTGGTTCACGGAGGGGAAATGAGCGCATGCATCTCACACCAGGCATTAATGGCACCGACAACTCAGAGTACGAACTTGGACCCTAAGAAATCTCCATTTTTCTTCCCAGTCGTTAAGAATCCTAGAGCTAGCCCTGGCTGGCATAGCTCAGTGGATTGAGCGCGGGCTGCAAACCAAAGTGTCGCAGGTTCGATTCCCAGCCAGGGCACATGCCTGGGTTGCAGGCCATGGCCCCCAGAACCACACATTGATGTTTCTCTCTTTCTCCCTCCCTTCCCTCTCTAAAAATAAAAATAAATTAAAAAAAAATCCTAGAGCTAGAAGAGCCTGTGAGGGTTTCCACTTTCTTACACCTCGGGGAAAAGGAAAAACAGCAAGCCCGAGTGCAAGGAGAGAGCTGCCGTTCCCTCCAAAGACGGGTCTACACAGCTCTCTCCCCAGCTGCTGGCCAGCAGACGGGCCCCAGGGCCACGCGCACGCCGCACCAATGTCCACACAACTGCGCATGCGCGGGCGCCGACCTTCCGTCACCAGCTCCTCCTCCTCGTTGTCCGTGCTGCTCAGCTTCTCTGCGTCGCTCTCCACGCCCTCGCCCTGGGGCCCCTTCTCCAGGGGCCCCTCGCTGTTCACGAAGTAGGCGGCCAGGCCCAGCTCCTGCTCCAGCGCCGTCCTCACCAAGCAGGACGAGTTGATCAGACGCAGGTCGCAGTACCGCAGAGACCTGGGGGGGCGAATGGAGGAGGTGTCCATCCAGAGCCTTCCGCAAGGAAGTGCCACGCCCACGCGGAGGGAAACGGGGAGCGGCCCCGCCCCCTGCCCTTCCCGCTGGGGCCCAGGGCTGCCCGGAAGGAAAAGCCCCGGCCTGCTGGGAGCCCTCCGCCAGCGTGGGCTGAGTTGCGCGTAACGGGCAGAGCACTGAGTGGGGACGAAAATGAGGCTTGAAGTTCAACCCTGCCCCTTCCTAGGGACAGGCCCTCCCACGGTGTGTAAGCTCTCGGAGGCTCAGGACGCTTTCCTCTGAAACGTGGGCACGACTGGGAAGAGCCACCCAAGTGCACCGCTGTGAGGTGTGCAATGATTGGACACGCGATTATTCATGCACAATTACAACGTGCCAGGGGCTGTGCTAGGTGTTGGGAACATGACGACCATCGAGTCACCAACCTACTGGAAAGGAGAGTCCACCTGGGGGACAGACACCGACCAGGAACAGGGTGGGGTCCTCAGAGGAAGGGAGCAGGGAGGACAGGCCCGCGCAGGCTCGGGGATGTGGAGGGGGCACAGCACAGGGCTCAGCGAGAGACCCTGTGACTGGCTGCCGGGTGTGTGACCTCAGGCAAACAAGTCTTTCCTGAGCGCATCTACGAAACGGGACGGCAGTGCTATTGCAGCAGGGCGCAGACACGACACTGGAAGTCGAGCACCGCGCCGACCCGATGCAAAGAGGTCGCTCAGTAAACCCCTCGCACAAGTTTAAGACGGAGCGAGACGTTGAGCCCTTATGGAGTTGCGGAATGGAACAGTTCACCCTTGTGAAATAGCAGTAACCGAGGTCAAAGGTCTGGAGCCCCTTTCCTGGGCCCCATGCACACGCAGCGTGCACTGGCCCTCGCACACACCCCGGCGTCCGCAGCCAGCCACACCGCTTAACCTCTGTCCGCCCCGGTGCCTCGTCAGTCACTCAGGGCTCCTGGAACAACACCTCCCCCCAGGGTCACGAGAGTCAAGTGAACTAAAGCACAGGAACAGGATCTAGGAGGGTGGCCAGCGTGCAGCACAGGCCCAAGAAACGTCAGTTCCTCCTATTTTGTTATGCAAGCAAAAATGTGTCTTGTGTAGCCACCTGCTCTGCTCTGCTCTGTGGGTGCAACATCAGTCTGTAAAAGCCCACCTGTGACCACCAGTGCCAGCAGCTTCCAGACTGAAGGCCCAGGGATCTCTGTCCTTAGTGTCCACCGGCCCGTGGGGAGACGGACCCCCAGGAGACACCGTGCGGGCTTGCAGCTGCCTGCTCGGCTGTGACGGCCAGGAACACGGCCCCTGAGACAGCAGGCCCCAGAGCCAGAAGAATGGACTCTTCCCAAGCGGCATCGGCCACCAGCCCCTTCCAGCACATGCCCTAGATCTGGAGGGACCAGCTCTCCCCCAGACCAGCGGGAAACGCAGCCGCGACGATCGAACACTTCCAAAGTGGGATAGCCGTTCCTCTCAGGGTGACGGCCGTCCCTCTCAGGGTGACAGCCCTCCCCCTGCCCTGGGGACAAACTGCAAGGCCTCCACCCAGAGCCTGGCAACAGCCCCCACTCTGCCCCCACAAGCAGAGAACTCGGGAAAGTGTCCCAGGTCCCACAGTTCACTCCCATGAGCTAGAACACCACCATAACAAAGATACAAACCTAAGGTGACCATGAATGGGAATGCGCCCCCTGGAGTCGGGCGGTGGAAACCCAGCCTAGAAAAGCCCCAGGTGTAGGCCCAGGCTCCTCAGAGACCCCAGGGGCAGAGCCCCCTCTTCTCACCTCGGTAGGGATTCCCCGTGCGGGTCCATCCCACTGAAGATCAGGATGCAAGGCAGGCCCTCCAGCTCCAGGTAAGTCTGAGGTCTCCACTCCGCATCCTCGATTTTCTGCCACATCTGCAGATAATTAAGAAATAACACCTAAAGACTCCCAACTCCCCAGCTAGCCCAGCTCCAAGGGAGCCTGCATGGCCGCCTACTGATTGAAAAAAAAACCCTTGCGTGGTATCCCTTGACAGAAAGGGACGTTCTTTGTACTGCAAATAAGTAGGTCCCCTCCTTCTCCACCGTGCACCCAGCGCAGACCAGCTACTCAGGACACACCTGCTCCCTGACTCCCTGGACGACGGCACACGCCCTCGGTGCATGTACTGGTTTTTACCGTCTCTCCACCGTGGCACTCCACCTCCCACCCACAGTTCCCCCTCGGTCATCGTTTCAACATTCCTTCTGACATAACGCTCGTGAATTCCCCAGCACTCAGAGATTCACTGAGAAGCTGCTCTAAGCCAGGCACTGCGCTGAAGTGTGAAAGAGTGAGATCTTTGGGGATGGTTTCCGCCCTCCATCCATCACCTGGGGAGGAGCCCGAGGACGGAGAACACCGAAGCAGCCCCAGGTGTGGGGGAGGCCCCCAGGTGTCGGGAGGGGCAGCTTGCTGAAAGAGGAAAACACCCGGTTGGGTCCCACAGGCTGGCAGACATCAGCTAAGCGAAGGAGAAGAGAACCCCCAAGGAAGAAAGCATGCTGCAACTCAGGAGTCTGAAACAGCAAGATAGTGAGTTGGGGGCAGCGGGGAGGGCAGCCAGGGGGTTGCAGCAATAATTTGGCACCTCCCGACTGAAAGATGCAGGTGGACACCTGGCCCAGGAGGCGGCAGGAGGGGTAGCAAGGCGCACAAGGCCACGAGGGATACAACATTAAGGAGTGTGTTGCCAGGCCCCTGATAAGAGCGCCCACCTTGAGCTGCTTCACGAAGTGCTTCCCGACGGTGAGGCCGGAGCTGGGGCTGCCCAGGATGATCTCGAAGTGCCGCTCCAGCGCCAGCCGCGCGCGCACGTGGGCCAGGCGCTCGTAGGCCAGGGCCGCCAGCGGCGGGCAGGGCACCCGCAGCAGGACCATGAGCCCGTGGCCGCAGGGGCACTGCTTGGGCGCGTTGAGGAGGTTCTGGGTGATCTCCAGCGTCTCCACCGAGGTGTAACTCTTCATCTGCGAGAGGCCGCTCACCGCCATCATGGCAGCCGCGTAGTGCTGCACCAGGACGAAGGTCCGGATGACGGCGCTGTGCAGGCGTGGGAACCTGAGCAGAGAGACCGGCGTGAGCCCGCCCGACGGCCCGGGACCCAGGCTGTCCAGCGGCTCCAGGTGGGGAGGCCCGCACATGGCAAACAGGTTGCCTGACTTCCACAATGCCCAGGTCACAGCCCAGTCACGAGTCCCGTGGACCCTGGCCGTTTGGAACCCGAGACAGTAGCCTTCCTGCGTGGGCATGTCCAGCCAGGAAACGCAGGGACGGGTCTGTTGTTGCTGGTGTCCCAGGAAGTACGTGTTCAACGAATGCACAGATGGAGAAGGAAGGTAAGTGCCTGCCCAGTCCATAACCAGCTCCACGCATCATTCCCTGAATCAGGCCATTGGCCCTGGCTCCTCCCCACCAGGGGAGGGAACCCTGGGTTCTCCCCACCAGGAGGGGGGAACCGCCGGCTGTCGCTGTGTAAGTACAGCTACCACAGACCCCAGATTCGGGGGCTTCATCCTAAAAGCACACCAGCCATTCACCTCAAGGACAGCGCATTCATCGTTAATGGAACTGTAACTAAATGCGATTGACTTTAAGAGTGACAAATCAGAACACATCCAGTCCAACCAGGAGGCCCAATACTCTCTGTGGAGGTCACGGCCACTACATGCGTCTCACACGGCGGCGGTGACCCCACCCCCCCACCAGGTGCACAGCTGGAGCGGCTCTGGCCCTCGAGTCTGAAAGAGACTCCAGAACAAGAGGTCGCTGCGTGTCTCAGCAGGAGCACAGACGACGACACCCAGTTTGGGCACAGGGCTCCTCCGGGTGAATTTCTCGGGAATGAGCCCTCTCGCTGAGCGCCTTTTGGAGCAACGACTAAGTAATTTCTTGACCTGCAAAGTCAGGAACCTTCCCGTGGCCACACCCCACAATGGGCATGTGGAGTTGGGGTGCAGCCAGCCCGCCTTCTGACAGCATCTCTGAGGTCTCCTCCTGCCCCTCCTTTTCCTTCATTCTTTCTCCTTAGCACTTCCACCACCCCACGGGTCCTACAGACTGGGGTTGGCTGGGCACGCTGCCACTACCACAGCTGGCCCGGGAAAGCCACACCGGGCCACAGACTCCGGTGCAAAGGGACTCGGTGGCCCAAGGGCTGTTTTGCCCTGGCCCCACAGTGCCGAGGAAGGACGGACGGCGGCAGAGTGGAGGATACACCGTCTCCCCTGCCCCACTTACTGCCCTGGCTCTGGTGGCCCCTTGTCACCTTGAGCAAGGTCAGAAGGGCAGGATGTCTCGTAGGCAGAAGCAGCACCTTCTTTGCCCCACCCCCGACACGGTGGGAAGTGCCTGCACTCAACTCTGCTCGGGGGACAGCCGTTCTCTCGGCACCCCACGCAGGCTCGCTGCAAAACCGGGCGGGAGTGAGTGCAGGGCAGGACGGGGCAGGGCGGGGCCAACACCAGCTCTCACAGCCTCGGGGACGACTCCACAGCTTCCTCCCTGAGCAAGTCCACCAGCGCTCAGCCACCCGCCCATCCGGAGCTGCAGAAGTGGCCCGATTAAATCCATCAGCATCAAAGTGCTCCGAGATAGCAAAGGGACCAGGTTTCTCAAAGGGTGTTGGGAGGGACGGTCATCCCAGGAGACACTGGAGGTGTCATCCACTCCAGCCGTCCCCTCAAGGAGGACTTATGGCCTCCCTGGCCCGTGGACGGCTGTGAGAATGCTCACGAAAGAGAAATCCTTTGGTTAAATGAGAGGTTCCTCAAACGTGTGTGACCACGGAACCCCTTTTGGCCAAGGGCTATTAGTATCCAGCCAAAGCAGCCTACCTTACCTCGGGACACAGTTTGAGAAGCACGCGTCTAATTGGATCCCTTCATGGGCAAGTGAGAAAAAACGAGGTGCCAGGAGGGCCAGTGGGGGACCCCAGCTCCACTCACCCCCAGTGGGAGGGCACGCCCATCCCTAGGGTGGTGCATTACAGTCTGCAAAAACCCAGCCAGGCTTTGCAGCGTAGGAACTGCATGGTGTCTCAATCACTCGACCTCCCCAGGCCTCAGTTTCCTCATCTGTAAAAGGGAAGCAGGAGCGCCTGCCCCCGAGCTCCGCTGTGACGGGTCAAAGGGCAAGCTGTCACATCCGATGGGCTCTGCCTTCTCTCCTAGCCCCACCCCTCGTGAGACACATGGTCCAAGACCGTCACGGTGTCTCGCTGAGCCTCCGTGTATTTGCAAAACTGGGACAAGCCCATCCACAGACTCAGAGGTGGTGAGGACCGAGTGAGACCATGAGAGTGAGGCTCTCGGGACAGCGAGTGGCTCGAAGGAAATAAAACCTGGACGGAGCAGCTGGGATGGCCACCGTTGCCGCCTTTAGACCTTCTGGTGTCTCCCCGCCCACTCTGTTCCCTCCCAGTCAGGTCTCCCATGCGCAGTCCTGCGTCCCAGCGTCCTCCTGCCTGTTCTCGTCTCCGGGGTCTTCTGCAGCGACAGCACAGCAGCCGCCACTGTCCCGAAACGCAGGGCACGAAATAAACCAGGTCCCTTTGCCAGAGGGACCGAGTCACCCAGGGTGGGTCCCGTCCCGGAGCTGCCTGGACACACCCACTTCACCGTGCACTCGACCGCGGGGCCACGCTCGGGACTGCGAAGAGGGATGCGTACCTTTTCCCCAGCGCAGTGACCATGGCCTCGAAGGAGCTGTCGTATCTCAGCAAGGGGAGGCTGTGCCCCGAAAGGGTCGACTCGATGAACTCCGACAGCCCGAAGTACTTCTTGCTCTCAGGATACAAGTCCGCGCCCTGAGGCGGAGAAGAGAGCCGGTCACCCAAGCGTCACATCTGCGGAGACTGAGGGGGTCACGTGCTGGGAGCCAGGCGCCCTGGCGGGCACCCTGGCTGAACGGTGCCGGCTCCGCCGTCCCCTGGGGGGCGTTTCGCTCGCTCCTCTGCAGGCCCAGAGCACAGAGCGCCCCCCACTTAGGGGGCTGCGTGTCCCCATCAGTCAGGGCTCTTCCGCTCACTAACCCCAGTGTGCTTGCCAAGAAGAAAACCAGCTTTATCCTTAACATGCAGCTTTTGTTGTTAAACCTGCTTCTTTCCAACATCACCACCTGGCTTTATGAACAGTCAACTATCTCACATCCCACCGTTATGAAAGGTGACAGGAAAAATATGTCCAGCTAACCAATTTTACTCACACTGACACACAGCTCCTCCCAAACTAACACCGGAGCTTCTCAAACGCCAGAGCAAAGGCGGGGAGGCTGCTACAATCACAGAGACGTAGGCTTGGCCCTCCAGCGGCACGTGGTTAAGTGCGGGGCCACAGAGCCAGCCGACTGGGTCACAGCCTGCGGCCCCTTCCCAGCCGTGCGGCTTGAGGCAAGTGGCTCAGCCCCCCACCCCCACCCCGATGTGTAAACCAAAATCCTCCGGGCTCCTGCGTCCGAAATGAGTTCACGTGACAGAGCCCTCAGGGCCGTGCCCACCCGGCTCACGGCAAGGGCCACACAAACAAGTGCCATCTCGCCGCCACTGAGGCCGAGTCCGCTGGGCAGAGGCCAAGCTCGGGATCTTTACAAGCTCCTCAGGTGACCCCGGGACACCCCAGAAAACTGCCGCTTGCTGGCTCCTCGTGCCATCAGCTGGCACCCGACCACCCAGGCCCCTCAGGTCACCGGAGCCGCGGTGACCTTCTGATCTGATGAGGAAGGGCAGGTTCGCCAGGTTCCGTGGGCGTGCGTTCAGTCTGAGGAGGGACACAGTTCAGGGATACAGGACACACGGGAACCGTTCTAAGACGGCCGGACAAAACCTTCCCTGCTCTAAGAGGCGGAAGCCAACGGATGTATTTCAGGAATGTTCCTTAACACCAAGAGGGGGTTGCAACCCGGACCTGGGTCAAATGAAAGACCCGAGGAGCCGGCACCCCCTGGACCCCCCAAGCGTTCTCGTTCACCGGCATCTCCGCCGGAGAGAGCTTCTCCCGACTCACGTCGCTGTGCGAGGCCGGCCAGTGGATCTCGTTGTAGGGGCTGATGAGGGTGCACTGCGTCTGCAGCGCGTAGGGGAAGGAGGTCACGTGCAGGGTCACGATGTTGGGGGCCTCCTTCACCTCCCTGCAGTTGAGCAGCCTGTCCACCCATCCCGCCGACGGGTCGCTCTGGGGGTAGAGGTTGTGCACGGCGCTGCTGGGGGAGGAAGGAAGAGGGGAGACGGGGCCGTCGGTGGGATGAGCAGCCCGACCTACACTCGCACAGGGTCACGCGGTTCGCACGTTCATAACTAGCACCCCCACCCCAACCCCGACACACCACCAGCAATCGAGGTGCACGGCTCTGCCCGTGATGAGGAAAACGGACTTTTCTTAAATGACTCTGCTGCAGGCACCCGTCAGGGACGCCCCCAGTGCCGGTTCCCGTCTGACAACTTGGCCGGGACACTGCCTGCAGGGGACACAGCGCACCCCCCGCCCCTGGAGCGGCGACTGTCACCCAGGAGTGTTCGCCGAACCGCCCGTTCTCCCTCGGCCCAACCTGTTACCCGTCTCCCTAAATCCTTTCCCCTGAAGGCCTGCGGGCTCTGAGACGATCCAAGGAAGATGGAAACGGAAGGTTTCTATGCTCAGTTGAAAAGCACTGAAAGTGGGTCCTGGCTGGCATAGCTCAGTGGATTGAGCGCGGGCTGCGAACCAAAGTGTCACAGGTTCGATTCCCAGTCAGGGCACATGCCTGGGTTGCAGGCCACGGCCCTCAGCAACCGCACATTGATGTTTCTATCTCCCTTCCTTCCCTCTCTAAAAATAAAATCTTTAAAAAAAAAAAAGCATTGAAAATGGAGCCCTGGCCAGCATGGTTCAGGCGTTTGGGCATCGTCTTGTAAGCCAAACAGTCATGGGTTCGATCCCTGGTCGGGCCTGTATATGAGAGGCAGGCGGTCGCTGTGTCTCTCCCTCTCCCCCCACCCCGCCTTTAACGTCAATAAAAGCGTGGCCTCGAGTGAGATCTTCCAGAGGTGCAGGAATGGCGCGGCGGCCTTCTGGACGGGGGCCCTAGGGGTCAAGGGCAGCGGAGCCTGGCTCCACGGGCAGACGGCCTTGGCCGCCTCACCTGCACGTCCAGGGGAACAGTGAGAACCAGCGACTCACCTTATGGGTGATACGCCTCCCCTCAGAATAAATACTCAAAAAACGTACCCTGTTGTATAATCCAGGATGTTCCGATTTCCCCAGGCCCACACACTGGCCCCGGACTGGGAGCCATTTACCTTAAATTTAAATCATCCTTTTTAAGGCTCCGGGCAGCCCTAAGCTTCTGGCTCTGTGCTAAACCAAAGCCTTGCACCCTAACCCGACCCAAGACCTGCCTCCCCGTCCTCGGCCACGTCAGGGGCAGGGTCAAGTGTACCCCACCACCCAGGCCCGTCTCCTGGGGGTGGCCGGTCCCGCCAGACACCCGGATCACCCCCAGATTCCAAGCTCAACGCTCAGACCCCTCTACTCAGTTCAGACGAACGGACATGTCACGTCCCTCCTGAAGGAGGATGGTGCCTGCTGGGACTCGCGGTCGGTCCCACAGCCAACCACGGGGAGGGAGGGGGGGGCCTCCGTCAGGAAGGGGCCTGGACTGAGCTCCCCCCGCCCCCCACCAGGATCCCGCCCGCACGAATCTGGGGCTTGGCAGCCGAGTGGGGCACCGACAACGCATCCCCTCGTGCAGTTCAGGGCCTTGGTTCCAGGCGGGCACCCGCCCCCCCGCACCCAGCACTGTGACGACATCGAGCATGACGCGTCCCTTCTGGGGCCTCGGTTTCCACACCGCACCACTCAGAGGCTGCGCTGGATGCCTGAGACGACGCCCAGCTCGAAGGCGCAGAACCACAGCCCCAGTGCCTGTCCCCGACGCCAAACCCCACCGCCCCTCCTCTTCCGAGGGCCGAGACACAGTCCCCCGGCGTCATCCATAAACACCATCGTCGTCTCAGAGGAGCAGCCTGCCCACCCGCCCGCGGCACTCGAACCTCACCTCACGAGGTCCCAGTGGGCGTGGTCGTGGACGAGGACGAAGAGCGTGTGTGGGTTCTGGAAGGCGCTCTGCAGGAAGGACTTGAACTTGGTCTGCGCCTCGGCATCGAGCTTCAGCACGTGCTGCTCCACCTGCTGCTTGCTCACGTGCTCCTTTTCCAAGCCGAGCTCCAGCAAGACCCCTGCAACCGAGTGTACACACGCACACGTGAGTGTGGCGCACACGCCGCCGCAGCCTCCATCCACTCTGAGGACCCCCGGCGAGTGTGGCTGGCGCTGTGCTCGGCCCCCAACTGCACGGGCGAGTCTGGGGGCCGGCCCCACACAAGCGACCGGGTTACCTCGGCTGTGCTGCGGCTGGGCCCAGAGACAGCCCGCCCGGGGCACACAGCTGAGCCGGCTCCGTGGAGAGGCCGATCCCAGGCACGGAAGCAGGAGGTCGGAAAGGACCCCCAGGCCCCGCAAGGGCACCTCCCGGGCTGGATGCCACCAGGACGCAGGGCGGACCGGAGTGACCCCTTTGAGGACTGACTCTCCATGCAGTTCCCAGTCAGTCCCCTTGAAAGACTAGGGCAAGGATGTTCACGTGGGTCCTGGACCCTCGCGAGAACTCGAGCTGGATCTCCCCTGAACGGAGAGCCAAGTCCTGGGTGAGGCATCATCTCTCAGCACCAGTGTCACGGCCCACAAACCGGGGCGAGACTTCTTGCCCTGCCCCTGTCAGCGGCGAAGACTGCTGTCCCGAACCCCAGCGTGGCCTTCGTCCAACTGCCCCCGCCGGCCCCCCGCCCACCCGCCCGCCCGGGGAGGCCCCGCACCCGAATGCCAGACGTGCAGCAGCGTCTGCTGGTAGGCCACTTCGGAGGGCGGGACGCAGATCAGGAAGTCCACCTTCTCGAAGGACCCCAGGTCCAGGTTCTGGGTGCTGGCGTCCGCGACGGAGCACACGTGGGAGAGCAGCTTCTGGGCCACGGCCAGCTGGAAGGGCCGGACGCGGGGCGGCTCCGGGCTGTAACCTGCGACCAGAGCCCGTGGGCGTGAGGCGCCCGGAGCCGAGGGCCCCGGCCCCCGACCTCTGCCGGGGAGGACACGGTGCACCCCCCACCCCATCTCGTGCATGGGGCCAACAGTCCCCCTCCTGCCCCCCGGGGACCTGCTCCGGGCTGGGTCCCAGGAGTCCTCTCGCACACCCATCCCCACTTCATCATCCAAGGGGGATGGACCTGCCCCTGGGGAGCTCAGCGGCTGTGACCCACTCCACCCGCGGGGGACAGGATGGGGGTGGTGTCCTAGGAAGGCTGGCTGAGTCTGGAATCCGGAAGAGGGCGTGAGTTGTCGAGGAGACAACGTCAGGGCCTTAGTGTGAATAAGTATCTCAACAGCACATTGATGAGGTGAACCCCAACAGAGAACTGCGCCCTCTCAGAACCCCCTACAGATGCTTGTTTCCAGGTCAATGACCTGTCGTCACGAACCAGAATTCAAGCTGGACATCAGGTCTCGCGTGATGCTCCGGAGGAGCCCTGCCCTCTGGCCGTGCCTCTCGCACGTCGCTTCCCGGCGGCCCCCCCGGGGTCCCCGGACGCGGCCTTGCCAGCCCAGACCCCGGCCACCAACTCCTCACCACTCACTCGTGCACGCCGGCACCCCTCCGACATCCAGGGACACTGATTTGGTGACAGAGGCGGCAGTGAGTGAAGAAGAAATGTGGCCTTGACTTTCCTGGTGAAATTTGTCCAGCAACACGTCAATGTCACCCTCTGCCCAAAACAGGAACAGAAACGGGGTCGTGAGAGTGAGCAGACCCCAGGGAACACCCGCAGTGCATCCGGAGCCACGCTGGGCCTGGGGTTTAAGAGACAAAGACGACACGGCCCACCCCATCCAGGGGTCCAGACCCGGTGGGGGAGCCACACCGTGCCGCGCAGGTGCTGGGACAGAAGGAGCAACCCCAGAAGGGCGGAGGAGAGGGTCTGAGCCCCTCTGGGAGGAGGTTTCTGGGCCCACGCGCGAGTCTGGGGGGTGAGCCTCCAGGCAAAGAACAGAGACGGGCGCGCACAGCACCCACAGGACGGGGCCCAGAGGACGCGCCGCTCCCGCGAGAAGCTTCAAGCCGTGCAGAGGGGCAGGCAGGAGCGGTGTGGAGAGGGGCAGAAAGGAACGGGCTCAAGGCCTTCACGTGCCCCAAGGAGATAGAAACCACAAAGCCCAGGAGAAGCTACAGCCAGTGCAGGAAGGTGGCAGCAGGGGCCGCGCACGCCGACACGCACACCAGACAGGCAGCCCCAGCAGGTCAGGAGGGTCGGGCTCCACCGTGACCTCCCCTCCCTGTATCCTTATTTCTGTGTGGTTCGTGCATGCATTTGAACCCGTCTCGCTGCAGGCCTACCTGGACAGAGGGTGCTAAAGAAGGCTCCCAAGGAGTCCACTTTGCCCGTAACCAGCTCATAACTGACTTCCTTCTGGTACTCCGCGGGGCTGAGGAGGCTCTCGGAGAGAATGCGGGCTTGGTATTTCCCTGGAAAACAGGCCGCAGACTCTCACCGGGCCCCTGCTTAGAGTTAGTTCGCTGACGGCAAGTCGGTGCCTGCACCTCTCTCCCCTGTCCCCCCCCTCCCGGCACCTGGCCTGGCTGAGCGCAGGTGTTTGTGTTGGTCAGATGGACACGCAGCCTACTCCACGCTGGCCCCGGGTCCCAGGCGGGGTCATGAGAGGGAATGCCCAGAGTATTGGCCATGGGGCCTGACTCCCCCGCTGACCCAGGATGCGTTGCTGAGCCCTGCCGCACCCGGCATCCCCCTTGGAACTCGGGGCTGACGGGAGTACCCACTCGGTGGGACGGTGGTGCGGGTGAAACAGACCCTGTTTGTGAGACACTTAGCCCAACGCCCGACACAGCAAATGTCAGTGCCACGCACAAAATGGGGAATGAGGTCAGCGTCAGAGAATGGTGAGAGACAATGGGGTCCTTACCCAGAACAACGTGAGGGTTTTTTAAGTTTTTAAAAATACGAAGATTTCAGGTTTAAGTTCAGAACACCTATTCTGGTCTCAATACACAGCCCCTGCAGGAGGCCAGCGGCCCAGGCCCCACTCCTCGGGTGGTCCCCAAGTCCCCCCTTCCTCCCACTGTCAGCACAGGACCCACCGCAAACCCCGAAGGCGCCAACTCCAAAATGCACCCAGGCTCCGGCCGCCTCTCCCCACTCCCAGCAGCCCAGCGCCCCACACGGCCTCCTCCCTAGGCACACCCCCAGCCTGTTCTCACACCCCCCCCCCCCCGGCAAGTCCTCCTGAACCGAAAGTCAGGTCACATCTCTCCTCTGGTCCAAACAGCTCACACGGGAAAATCCCGGCATTCAGGGCCCCGCACAGCCCCAGGTCCTGGCCAGCCCGTGGTCCCTTCACCTGGCCATGCACCACCTGCTGCCCCATGGTCTTGGGGGGGAAGGGGACCCTGCGCCTGCCCTTGTCGGCACTGTTTCCCCGTCCTTCACACCCCTGCTTCAAAGACACCCCATTGAAGAGGCTCTCCTGACCGCCTCTTAGAAGCCAGAACCCCTAACTAAAACCCTCCACCCCCTTGCCCTCCCCCCTGCCAGGTTCTGTGCTGGATTTGGGCTCTGACTCCCTCTGCTCCTGTGTCCCCAGCCCCTGGCTGTGGCCGCATGGAGGAGAGCTCCCGCAAGTGTTTTCACGATTAGTTAATGGACTCCTTCACCCACACAACACAATATGGCCATTTCTTAAGTCTCCATTAGGTAGTGGAAGAAACTGTCTCTAAGAAGCCAATCACATCGCCAGGTGCACACAAAAGCGAGGTTTTGGGGCCTGTCCAGACCCCCAAGTCACCCCGGTGGGAGTAGGGGTTAGAATCTTCACCAAGCTCACGACCCAGGGCACTGAGCATTGGCACCAGGAGGAGGGCCACAGGACCTTCGGTCCCCAGCTCCCACCCCCCGCTGCTGCCGACCCGGGCATGAGAGGCACAGAGAGTGGAACTGCCAGCGAGAGCCCCTGGGAAACCCACCCCCAGCTGCTTCTCGCCCAGCTGCCGGGTGGCGGGCAGGGCCTCACCGGTGACCGCGATGCAGGAGTCGATGGCGGCGTTCCGGCAGGCACAGATGATCACCACGTAGTTGGTCTTGGCCAGCTTGCCCTCGACCAGCAGCCGGAACATCTCGGAGAGCCCCTCGGCCAGGGAGTAGGTGCACTCGATGACGTGCACGCTGTCATTGCAGGAGCTGGCGGCCAGGCCCGCCAGCCAGGGCAGCTGCGCGGAGGTGACCGGCGCCACGGCGCTGGGCGTGGGCGGGAAGGGCTGCAGCGGCACCGCCTGCTGGTACTGCCGGGTCTCCGTCAGGTGCGACTCGCGCCAGGAGCGCAGGAAGATCTGCTCCAGGTCCTCCATCAGGGGCACCTGGTCGGCCGCTGGCAACACAGGGTGGGCGGGCGGGCGGGCGGCGCCTCAGTGCCTGCTCCATGCCCCCACTCACCCCATGCCCCCACGCGCCCCACGCTGGCACACCCCCACCCGCTCCAGGTGCCCCTCATGCCTCACATGCCCCACACCTGCACACCCCCCTCCTGCTCCAGGTGCCCCTCGTGCCTTACTCAACCCACACCTGGGCACCCCCTCCCTCTCCACGTGCCCCTCGTGCCTTACTCGACCCACACCTGGGCACCCCCTCCCTCTCCACGTGCCCCTCGTGCCTTACTCAACCCACACCTGGGCACCCCCTCCCTCTCCACGTGCCCCTCGTGCCTTACTCGACCCACACCTGCACACCCCCTCCTGCTCCACGAATCCCTCGTGCCTTACTCAACCCACACCTGGGCACCCCCTCCCTCTCCACGTGCCCCTCGTGCCTTACTCGACCCACACCTGCACACCCCCTCCTGCTCCACGAGTCCCTCGTGCCTTACTCGACCCACACCTGCACACCCCCTCCCGCTCCACGAGTCCCTCGTGCCTTACTCGACCCACACCTGCACACCCCCTCCCGCTCCACGAGTCCCTCATGCCTTACTCGACCCACACCTGCGCACCCCCTCCCGCTCCACGAGTCCCTCGTGCCTTAGGTGCCCCCCCCACCCCCACTCGACCCATGAGCTGCACGCAGAGGCGTTATACAAATACAATGAGCGATTCTGGGAAAATGCACCTATTCTAGTTTAAAAACAATCTAAAGTATTTAGTTACATCATATTACAGACTACTGGGAGACACAGGGAGGACACAAAAGCAGCCCTAATGGCGCCATCCTAATGCAAACACAACTATTTCTGTGTACGTCTCCGCCCCCGCCCCCCACGGGCAGGTTTAAATTCCTGGAAGTTGCTGTAAGGATTGCGGGCATACAGCTTCAGAGCTGGTCCCCTGTCCTTCCCATCACACCTCAGTCACATTTCCCCGCTGTTTAGGGTCTTCAAAAATAGCACCACTAATGGGCACGAGATGTTCCAGGCACCTTGTTTACGCAGCATGTCTCTATTGTCAGTCCTGTTATTGCTTCCACGGAATCACCTGTGGGAGTCACTCTGCAGTGCACAGCCGTCTGTGCAGAACACAGCGCCCTCACCTGTCAGTGATTCTGCAGCGTGCAGCCCTCTGTACAGAACGTAGCGTCCTCACCTGTGTGAGTGACTGCAGTGCACAGCCCTCTGTACAGAAGGTAGCACCCTCACCTGTCAGTGATTCTGCAGCGTGCAGCCCTCTGTACAGAACGTAGCGTCCTCAGCCTAAACTCTCCAAAGTGACCTTACAGAGCCAGTTCCCACGTATCATCAGACTTTTTCTAGATGGTCCCCGTGTGTCAACCTCCACGCGTTACCGGCACACGACACACGACACACACTGGTGTTCCTGCACCCTTCGCCCCTGGATACCATCACTTGGGGGGCTGTCAATAGTTTGAGAAAAATTTTCCTTGTTTGACTTGTTAACTGGCATCTCTCCGATGGCTACTGAGATTGCACACTTTCGACATTTTTTTCCTACAGGTATTTTCTGGTTTATGTGTCCAAATTTTATAACTGGGGGCAGGTGGAGGGCAGAACTTCTGTTTAGCAGACGCGTCCCCACCCAGCGCCGGCTCGGAGCCGCGAGCCCCGCTGTGATCAAGTTTCCTGATCTGAAAAAATAGGAATCACACCACCCACTCCCTGGGCTGCGTCAAAATTCGGTTGAATTTCCTGTATTTTCAGACCACAAGACACACCTAGGTTTTAGCAGGGGAAAATAGGAAAAAAAACTTTTGAAGCAAAAAATGTGGTAAATAACAATATTTGACCAATGTAAACAGAACTCAACTGCAGCATTAACAACCATTCTTCCTCCCAAATTGAGGGCAGGGGGCGGGCGGGGAGTACATCTTATAGTCCAAAAAATATGGCAGCTGTTTATCTGCCACGTTTAAAGCCTTTCCCCTGAGCCCACACCCTCTCCAGAACCATCCCTCCCCTCCCAGACCAAGCTCCCTGGGAGAGCTGTCCACAGTCACCACGCTAGTTTCCTCCAACCCCCCCCCCACGTGGCTCCTGTCCCCACGCTCCTCATCCAGCCCCCACCGAGGCTGCCGGCCCCTTCCATGGACCCACGCCCGACAGTCACCCATCAGCCCTCACTCCGCTCTCAGCGGGTCAACCGTTTTTGAATGACTTCCGTACATTCTGACCTATTGTGAGCCCTCCCTGGTCCTTCAGAGCGGTGACCCCTGCAGCCCTGCCCCCACCCCGGTAGGCAACCCCTGTCGGCCTATTGCCTGCCCCTCATTTCCACCAGCCGGAGCCGGTCTCCACGGCGCCGGTCAGCGAGGGAGGCTGGGCACGTGTCACCTGCAGCGGGTGCTCCCGTGGAGGCCCGCAGGCAGGCAGGCAGCGCGGGCACTCACCCAGCTGCACCAGGTAGTAGACGGTGAGCAGCAGCTGCGTCTCCTCCGAGATGGGCTGCAGGGCGGAGGCCCCGTACTGCTCGTGCGCCCGGGCCAGGGACTGCGAGCTCTGGTAGCAGGTGTGCAGGAGCGGGCTCACCACCACGTCGTTCAGGTTCCCGCACAGGTAAGGGAAGTTCCCGTGGCCTGGGGAGGAGCAGCAGCGGCATCTGCTGGTCAACCGGCCTGGGCCCCACCCAAAGGGCCCTGCCCAGTCCTCCCAAGTCCCGGCCTCTGGCCTCATGAAAGACGGGATTGCTTTCATTGAGCCCCGAATCAGCCCCCACGTAGTGCACACACTAGCCACTGACCCGACACTGAGATCAAGTCTGGTTCTGCGTCCCGCTCCCCACTGGTGACCATGGCTATCCTAGCCCAACCAGACACGGGGTCCATCGTCCAAAAGACCAGCGGCAGAGGGTGACAGCGAGGCCAGCCCCAGACCGGGCGGTGCCGGTCCCGCCAGTCGGCAAGGGGCCGAAGCTCTGTCTCTAGCCCCTGGTACTCAGCCCCGAGCCTGTGGCCATGGCGGGAGCTCAGTGAGGCTGAGTGAGTGAGGAAGGAAAGGACAAATGAACAAGCAAATGAACGGCACGGAGTGGAATCATTTTACTTGGGCCTGTTGTGCAAAATCAAGAAGCTCTCCTGGCTGGTGTAGCTCAGTGGATTGAGCGTGGGCTGCGAACCAAAGCATCGCAGGTTCGATTCCCAGCCAGGGCACATGGCAGGGTTGCAGGCCACGGCCCCCAGCAACCGCACATTGATGCTTCTCTCTCTCTCTCTCCTTCCCTTCCCTCTCTAAAAATGTATAAATAGAATCTTTAAAAAGAAAAAAAAAAGAAGCTCTCTGACTGCTGGCAGAGGACTGGGGGCTTCCCCGTGACGGGGTAGGTCCGCTCGGGTCTTTCATCGTCCTGGAAAGAGTGTCGGTGAGCGCTCAGGGGACACTGCGGAGTCCGACTGGAAGAATGTCAGCCTGCTGGCCGTGTCTCGCGCATTCCTCCAGCCCCCTTCCCCCCTCGGCCGGCTCCCCCACGCTGCACGGCGCCACTTGCCTTTAAATATCACTGGCTTGGCCTTGCATATCTTCAGCAAGTTGTCCGGGACAGACACTGGCTCCCCGGAGGCCACCACGGGAAAGGTGACTGCAGCTGGTCCCGCCCAGCCAGCCGGGGGCAGGCAGGACATGCCCGCACCCTCTGCGAACACACTGAGAGCGTTAGGAAGACTCACCTCGACCCTGCCCCGCCCCCCACCAAGTCTTGGGATCGCAAGTTTCTGAGGTCAAAAGCATCTTTAAGGTCACCGGGTCCAACCATCCCCACCAAAGGACCCAGGCTCCTCTCCATTATCCTTGACAAGTGACAGGCAAGCTCCTTTTTAAAGTCCTTTCAGGTCGGGGAACTCACTACTGTGCTGGGATGCTGGACTTTGTTAAGCAACTCTAATACATGCAAGAGAGAGCCTTTGGCTGTACCAAGGTCAGCCTCCCTCCAGTTCCTCGCCAGCACACACAGAAGCCCACACACGCATGCACACGCCACCCCACCAGCAGCAGCACACCCGAGCCTTGGATTCTTGGAAAGTTCTGGTCACTTACCATACTTAGCTCTGTTCCCACCACCCTGGGGGTAGCCACCGTCTGTAGCTGATGGAGATTCTGGAGACCACCCTTTGTGGCGCTTTTTGGGGGGCCCGGAGTTGGACAAGATACCTAGGCGACATTCAGAGTGTGCATTAAGCTGCCCGTGGGGATGAGCGTCGATAAAACATTCCCCTGACTTGGAGAACACTTATTTATTTTTTAAAATCACCGTTCACGACGGGCTTTAGCATCTACTGAAGCATCTAGGCATAAGGCAACATCCTGTCCACCTTTGCCAATGCTTCCTTCCGAAGTTGCGCGAGGACACCGTTCAGTCTGAAGGCTTAGCCCCTCCGCCTTCAACCTGGGATCGTTAGGCGCGCCTCTGAAAGGTGCCTCGGTCAGGACCAGAGGGAATATATGTAAAGCACAAGCCTGGGCCCAATGAGTGGTGGCCGCCAAGACTCCATCACCATCGCCTCACATTCCCATATATCGCTAACGGCATTCCCGCAGACAAGCTGCAGCAAGCTCAGCCCACCGCTGCAGCTGCACCACTAGGGGGCAGCACGTACCCAGCGCTGCTCCTCTCCCCACCCCAAGCCTGGAAAGCGAATTCCAGGCTGAAGAAATCGAGGGGACCTAGGCTGGCACCCACGGCTGCTACCAGGCATCCTGCCCTCCCAGATGACAACAGGATGACAGCGTGCCCGTGACTCTCACTGGGCTCGTGGTTACTCAAAATTCCACGGACTGGTCACCGTGCTTCTGGGACCAACTTTTGGATGCAACATCTCCCCTGCACTTAAGAGCTACATGGCCAACCCTGACTGCACGTTACACTCCCCCGAGAAGCTTTTAGGACCCTCCTCGCCTAAGGCAGCCCCGCCCCATGTAAACCAGGACCCCGGCGTCTGTGGTGGGGGAGGGGCGCAGGCGGGCTGATACCCCCCGGGCTCCCTGACGAGCCTAAGGCGTCACGGAGGTTGGGAACCACCACCTGGAGCAACGTTTCTCTGATTCCGGCCTGAGGAGGAGCCGGACAGAACCAGCAGGGGCCCGTTCACACGCTCCGCTCCTGGGCCCAGCCCCCGCCTGCGGAGTCCGGTCTCTGGGAAGATCGCTGGAGGGTGAGACCGCTGACGCACTAAGTCCCTGCAGACCTGGAGCTCCAGGACCCCACCTGCCCGGGGACAACCCAAACTGGTCCCTGCACAGCCACCCGCTCAGCAGGGACAACACTTTGCCCCGGAGGCAGCCTTCAGCCCTCCCCAAACACCCCTTGCCGCCTCAAAAGCAGTTTCTTAAAGCTGATCCCGGCCGCCGGCAGAGCAGGCCATCCGTTCAGCGGTGCGCGTGGGGGCGGGGGAGGGAGGAGAGAGAAGCCTGGCTTACAGCGAGCACAGCGCTGGGTCCACTCTCCCTCCACCCACAGCCTCTGCGCCAGCAGGGGGCCCCTTTACCCCCCTCGCTCACCCCCTTCTCACCCCTGACTCACCCCGATCCCCACCTCCTCAGCCCCTTTCCTCACTTCCTCCCAAAGCATCTCTAATTAGTGCTTCCCCAGCCGTGAGCTGCAGGTCACTTGTCACCTCCTGCAGGAAGCCCTCCCTGAACAGAGCAAGCTCAATGCTGCTGCTGCTGCTGCTGCTGCTGCCGCTCCTGCTGCCGCTGTGGGTGCCGGTAAGGTGCCCTGAGGGAGTTGCCTGATGGCCCAGACTCCTCCACACACATCACCTCGTCCGATCCTCTCAACGGCCCTCAGAGCAGAACTCGTACCTCCAGGCAAGGGGGCGTTTAGCCGGAAGTCTTGTTTATGCAAGACCCCCGACTACCAAGAGACAGAGTTGGGTTTTGGATCCGCGGTTATCTGATGTTGTTCACACGATACCACGTCACCCTCTGCTTCTCCCGAACCCTGCGGCCCTTCCGACGGGTGGCTCACAAAGGGACAGGTCCCCCGCCTCACGAAAGGCTCTCACGGTTTCCTGGTGGGACCCGTCACCCGGCACCAGGGCCTGGGCACAGCCCTGCAGACTGGGGAGGCACCTGCTGCCCTGGCTGGACTCCGTCCAAGCCACACCAGTTCCAAGAGGCTCCCATGTCCGCCCCCCAAAGCCTTGACCCAGAGAAGGGCAGGGCCCGCGGGACGGGCAATGCTACCTAGCGCCGAGGGCCGCGTCACCGCCGACAGCTTGCTCTTCACCAGCTGCTGGTGCTTCGGGGAGTCCTGGCCGTTGAAGACAGCTGGGCCCGTGGCTACGGTGAGAGGGGGGTGACCAGAGGCCGGTCCTGCTCGCAGAGAACAAGACAGAGCAGGTCAGCTCACAGCACGGCGGTTCCGCCCGGCTGAGAAAACACACGGAGACACACATGCATGCACACGCGTGTGCAGACATGTGCACACACGCTCCTGCAGTGAGCACTCCCCGGTGGGGGAAGGCCCCGAGGGACAGGAGTGGCCCGTGGGGCTCCGTGAATTCAGGGCTGCCCCGGAAACTGTTCCTGCTTCCTTCCACCTGCTCCTTCACCCCCCAGGGCCAGGTGTGTATCAGACACACTGGGCACAGCGGTCGGGTTTGCGGTCACCGAGGCCCTCTCCTCTCCGGCCTCCCAGGGGAGGGGGCAGAGTCTGCTCGGAGAGTTGAAATGGCCTGCCCTGAACTGCCCGGCCGGGAGGCGGCAGCGCGGGCGCTCACACCCCGGTGTTCTGATGCCAAAGCAGCGGCCTCTCCGGGTGCCTGGTGGCAGAGGCCCCAGGCGGCCCGGGCACCGGGAGGGCAGCGGCAGACACCTCGGGGTGGGGAGGGGGGTGTGGCACCTGGGGGGGAGCACGTTTCAGCGCAGGGCAAGCTCTTCGTCACAGGTGGGACCAGCCAGGGGGGGCGGGGGCTGTGGTTCCTCTTGGGGTCCGACCTTGGACCCTCTTGGCAAAAGGAACGGAAACCACCAGCCCCCCCCCCCCCCGAGCCCCAAGAAGGCTGCTGCCTACTGTGGTTGCCTCTCCCACGTTTAAGGCTTCAGCCAGAAATACATGCTGTCAAATCTGGGCTCCGCCCGCCCATGAGTGAGGTCCCAGCTGGTGGCCCCCATTTCCCAGCGAGCACGACGGGGTCACAGAAGCCTGGTCACAGGGGCTCGTTAGGGTTGGACGGGACACGCCCAGAGCTGGGGCGCAGGGCACATGGGACAGAGCGCATGTTCGGTCTCACCGCCCCTCCCGGGAGCCCAGTTCCAACGCCGACTTAGTGCCCGTCACAGGGCAAGCCCTACGCTGCAGACCGGGCCTGCCGAGCGACCCCACCAGCCCACCGATGGGGGGGACCCTGTGCCGGAGCAAAGAGGCATGCAGAGCGCCTTTCCAAGTTAGAAACAGAGCACTCTGTGTCGGAAACTCCCCCAAGGTCAAGACGAAACGCGCAGGCGCTGCAGAGAAAGAGGACATGGGGCATGCCCCCGTCTCTCCGGGAGTGCCCGTCCCCCAGCAGCCACGCCGGGGGCACGCCAGGCCGCCACGGGCTCTGCTCCTCCGGGCCGCTCCAGCGCCTCACCTGCGGGCTGTGCCCCCGGGGGGATGCTGAGGTTCGTTCCGGGAGTGGGCTCCCCGGAGAAGGCGGCCAGGGGCCCGGAGCTGTCCAGCAGCGGGAAGAGGGAACTGGAGCACGGGCCAGCGGTGGTCTGCCGGCCTCTGAACTCTGCGGACAAGACAGGGTCGTGAAAACCAGGTCGCTGCTGCCCCCACCGGTTAGAGATGAGCTCCAAGCCTGGGGTGTGTCCTGCAGGGGAGCCAGGTACGTGGACACCCGAGCTCTAAGGGCAGGGGCCCATCTGAGGGACACGCTGACTGACAGGAGAGGACAAGAGTGAGCATCTGGGGAAAAGAGAAAAGCAGAGGATACGAATGCATCCTCCAGCCACTGCCCATCAAAGGTAAAGGTACCACCCATACCTTCCCCCAGCCCGCAGGCTGCTCTCAGCCCCAGGGACGGACCTCACCTGCAAGGTGCTTGGCCACAGCAGATAATGACAGCCCTTCACTGGTCCCCCGGGGAAGACCTGCCGCCTCCCCGGGACCCAGAAAAGGACTGGCGCGCACGAGCAGCTCAAGGAATGTCAGTGTTTACTGACTGATGCAAGCAAAGGAGAGGAAGAGGAAGTGATGATAGGAATGGTGGGGGAGGAGGCTCGCCCAGAGCCAGCGGCTCCTGAAGCCCCTGTTCTGCTCGTGGGAGCTGGCTGGGAGATGCCGAGGGGCCAGCAGTGAGCCAACATGGACAAGTGAGGGACCAAAGGTCGGTCCATCCAGTCGCCTCACTGAGAAACCTTCTAGAACATGCCCCTCCGCACCAGCTCCGTGGGGGCATCTCAGGGAGCAGCCAAGGCTGGGCCTCTGAAATCCACCCTCTTCCTCTCCTCCACCCACAGCTCGCTGCAGCCAAGTGCCCCGGCCCCACACAGGGGACACAGAGAGGGAGGCATGGGGCCCAGAGACTCCCTCCAGGGCCGGGACGCTGGGGAGCTGTTCTTTCTGCTCGGGGACTGGGGGGCATTATTCAAGCCAAGTTTCCCTACATTGGGGTTTTGCAACCTTGCACCATGGACATTTTGGAGTGGGTAATTCTTTGGGGGGGGCCAGAATGTCCTATGAGCTGCAGGATAGTGGGCAGCAGCTCTGGCCCCCCTCCTCAGAGGCCAGTAGCACCCTTCAGCCGTGACCATCAACAGTGTGCCCACACAATGGCAAATGTCCCCTGGGGGACAAAGTCACCCACTGGAGAACCTTCCAACCACTGGCCACAGGACGGCACAGCATGGGGCAGCCCTCTGTCAGCCCTTAAACAGCCCGCACAAGTAGGCTGACGCTGTAAACTGAACACCTGTCATGAGAAGTGGCATTTTAATTGCACACACTGGCCCCTCACCTGCCTTCAGTACTGCCACCGAGCCGTCTCTCCGCAAAGTCCTGCCGACAGGCACCTCGCCCGCCCGGGGGACACCCCGTCACCCGCCCGCCCCGCAGAGCCGAACCCCTCACCTGAGCCTTTCCAGCAAATGAGAGGCCCTTTGGTAAGAGCCCCCTGGGCGTTGCGGACCAGGTAATACTTCAAGTGCTTCTGCTTCTTGGGCTGAGTGGTCAGCTTGAGGTTTATGTGATTGGAGAACTCCGTGAAGTAGCAGAAGCCTTTCTTCCCGCAGCCAACACAATTCCCAGAGAATCCTGGAGAAGGAACGGACCGTGCGTGACTGTCCCCAGCTCACCTCCAAAGTCCTCTTCCGACAGATAACACACGGTTCATCAGAACTGACCACTCACGTCCTCTGCCACCGGCCGGAGAATCCGCAGGGGGGCAAGATGGCCGTGACTCAAACAGGAGGAGGACCACCAAGAAGACCTTGCCACGGACATGGGCCCAGGCAAGCTCGGGAGAGTGAACTTGCTTGGGTGCATATCCGAACGCCTGTGGGAGCCGACTTCCCAGGACGAGCACTGTCTCTGCGGCTGCCCGCACGGACCGAGTGTCTGCAGGAACCCGGCCTGTCCCACCCCCCCGTCCTCCGCGCTGGCCAGTCCCAGCGTCTCAGTGTTTGCTCACTGGCGCTAGACACGCCAGGAGAGCGCGAGAGAGTGCAGACTCCCGCCCTGGAGTCGAGAAATTCGATTCACCCTGGCTGGCGTAGCTCAGTGGATTGAGCGCAGGCTGCGAACCAAAGTGTCACAGGTTCGATTCCCAGTCAGGGCACATGCCTGGGTTGCAGGCCACGGCCCCCAGCAACCACACACTGATGTTTCTCTCTCTCTCTTTCTCCCTCCCTTCCCTCTCTAAAAATAAATAAAATATTAAAAAAAAAAAAAAAGAAATTGGATTCAACGAGCTGCTGAAAAGGGCTCCACGGTGCATGGCAGGCAGTGGGGAGGGGGTCTGGGGGCTCCGGGGCCGGGGGAGTGGAGGCATGCTGCTCGAAGGTGGCTGTCACAGGGTCAGCGTCCTGCTACCCGAGGCCAGAATGGGCCTTTCTGGGAGGTGACCGAGGCTGCCATCAGCTGCGAGGCTCTGGGAAGGCCGTCTACGCAGTGGCGATGGCAAATCCACCTCCTAGGAACTATGAAAACCCAGAGAAGCCCTGGCTGGCGTAGCTCCGTGGATTGAGCTTGGGCTGCGAACCAAAGTGTCGCAGGTTCGATTCCCAGCCAGGGCACATGCTTGGGTTGCAGGCCATGGCCCCCAGCAACCACACATTGATGTTCTCTCTCTCTTTCTCTTTCTCTCCCCCCTCCCTTCCCTCTCTAAAAATAAGTAAATAAAATCTTAAAAAAAAAAAAAAAAACAGAGAAGAGGCTTGAGAAGACCTTCGGAGCCGTCACGTCCATCCGAACGGCACTCACCAGAGCCACGGGCGAGTGCGGACCACTGTGAGGACCAGCTCCGCCACCTGACGGTCGCGGGACCCCGCCTGAAGGAGACTGTCCTTCAGCCCTCGCCTGGCCCCAGGCACGGCTGCTGTCAACCATCCAAGGACCTTTGGGAGGGGCGCCCTGAGGCCGACCCATTTATTTAACCACACTCTCGGGCCGACGAGTCTACCAAGGTCCTCTGGACCTCGGCCCCGAGGGCTGCGCGGCTCTGCACCGGGTCTGCTTGCACGCCTGGTAGACGGAGCCCCTGGCCCGTGTTCAAAGCGGCATCTGTCGGTGACAGTTCAGGACACCTCCACCGGGAGATGACACGTCTACGCTGCGGAACCCTGCGGGCTCGCCAATCTGCTGTATTTTAGGCAAATGTCATATTCCCCAAAAGGCCTTAGAAATAAGGGTCAGTCTCTTGGTCTAGATGTAAGACAAGTGCAGGCTAGTTCGCTCTTCCAAAACCCTGCTCCCTCTGCAGCAGAGCACACGGGAAAGGCCCCAGAGACACGTCCAACATGGCACTCCGCCTGCTGGTGTTCTAAAGGGACAGGGAGGGGGCTGATGCGCACAGAGAAGCCGTGACGTCCCTGCCCATCCACTGTCATCCGGACAAGCCACTCAGTCAATCAGGGCAGCAAGACCACCTTTGGGGAAACCTGAGAACCAGAGAGGCTAAGCAAGAGTCTGAAGTAGATTCAGAGAGTGTGGCATCTGAGTCTAGCATGAGGCTGAGGTCTAGACCCACAGCGTGGCATCCAGGGCCACCCCCCAAGCCCCCCAACCCTCGTCTCCAGCTTTATTTCTAGTCCTCATTCTGCCACACAGGCAGCAGACACAAGGCCCGCAGGCTGAATCCGGCCCTCCACCTTGATTTATCCGGCCCGGCACCTTGTTTCTGCCCGGCAGCAGCACCGAGCTCCTTGCCCCTAGTTAAGGAGTAGTTACATGTATACAGTCCTAAAATGACATCCAGCCCCTTGAAGGCAACCGTGAGGCTGATGTGGCCCCTGGTGAAAATGAGTTTGATGCTCCTGTTAAATATGCTTAATTCCAAAGGGCTCCCTCTGCTGACTTCCACTGCCCACTCCTGCCACGCTCCTGCCTCCAGGCACACGCACACTCTACCTCACGTGAGCCACATCTGCATGCACCCCACCCACCGCTCAGCCCTCAGCTCAACGCCCACGCCTCCGGAGACTTCCCTGCCCCAAAGGGGCTGGGCTCACTGTTCCCGGGGCCCCTGCAGCCTCTCTGTACCGTTCAGAGGGCCGTGTGGCTTCTTCCTTAGAGTTCTAGTTACTGCAGTTCATGTCTTTCCCCCACGACTTTCCCATGCGTCCCAAGCGCTGGGACCGTGGTGTGCCCGAGTGGAGGCGCATTGCTCTGGGTACATAAGCGCCCTCGCACAGACTAGTGCTTGGCGCGGGGCAGAGCGTCCGTACACATCGGCAGGGAAGGAAGGAGACAGAACACAAGGTTAAGTACAAGAGTGAGCACGGGCACATTTCTGGCACACGTTGAAGTAATCATCTAACATCCTTACTGGTCCCTTTGCCTCCAACATGGGAACCTTGAGATAAACAGCCATCTGAGGCCCCGAGAAAACTCCCAAGCTCCCCGGAAGGGGTTCTGAGCCCGAGCGTTGAAAAGACGGATGAACAAGAAACAGCTGCAAGGCCAAGGACGCTGAGGGTGACCGGCCAAGGCCAGCACGGCCACCCCTGTCCAGAAACAGTGGACATGACTTTGTGTCATGAGAAAGGTGCACTGCAGGGCCATCGCAGACGCGGGGGTGGGAACCACGGACCGTAAGAGCTCCTCTTTGTGGTTGCGAAAAGCAAGCGGCAACCTGGGTCTTCCCGGCGTGGTCGGTATTTAGGGAGCCCGCAAGCAAACCGCCCTTCTGTGTCGGTGCTCACTTTCTGGTGAGAAGAATCCGCTGCTCTTCAGGGAGATGACCCCGGGCAGGGAGGGCCGACCGGGAAGACCGCAGTGCGGCTTACCAGCCGGCCCAGGGGACTGCAGAGTGGTTGCAACCACCCCAGCTGAACATACGAGATAATTCTAATCTTTCGAGAAATTGTCTGAAAGCCAATACAGGTTTTCAGGAGGAGGAACACAGTAAGTCCTTCTCTTTGCAAGTCTCCCCGAGGACACGGACATCTGTACCAGTCCCCTCGGGAGACACGCCCAGGAAGCGTGCCACCGGGCCCGAACCCTCCAGCCCCCGCCAGGCGCAAATACCCAGACTCGAGAGAAATCATTCCGTCCACGAACTGCCCCACGGGAAAGGCCCCATAAAAACACCTCGCTCCTGACCACACACAGGCGGCACCATGCGATTTTCCCACGGGTCCGGTTGTGTTTAACTAGCACACCTTGAACTCGTGCCAGTGTACACTGGCCACCAAGCCAGGCTCTCTCTTCTGTTGGGAGGAAAGTTCCTGACCTCCTACCCACTTCACTGTAGCAGAGCATGCACATACTTGCAAATCGGAGGGACCGGGGTTCAAATCCCCACTCCCACCTTGTGTGACTTTGGGCGGGTTAAGTAACATCTCAGAGCCTTTTTTGCATTTCTCATCTGTAAACATGATAATGGTGAACATTTATTGCACACTGACCAGCTGCCAGGCCCTGAGCCCAGCACTTGACATGATAAATGTTCTCATTTAAACCTCCAGCAGCCCTATAACACAATTCGCAGGCTCCCCAGTTTACAGATGAGGGCATCGGGCACAGGGAGAAAGCAGCTCGCCCACAGAGGGGTCGGGGGTTGGGACTGAACCATTCTGCTGCGGCACGTCCTCACAAAAATCCATCTTGAAGGAGCGGGAGGAGGGCAAAGTGCCCACCATGTGCTCAGCACACAGCAGGTCTCATCCAATGTCATTGCCTCCTCCTGTCCCTCGGACGGGCACGGCTGTATCACAGAGCGGAGCTGGGGCGGGGCGGCCGGGAGACTGAAGTCTGACCCTACCCAGGCCCTCGCGGTGCTGAGACGGGGGAGGGGGACGGGGCCGGGGGGGGGGGAGGGAGTGGCTCCATTCCGTCCCTCCGGGTTCCGGTTTCCCAACCATCACAGGGGACGTGAGGTCTCAATGAACCCTGAGTTTCCTTCCAGAACCAAAGGTATCTGACTCCTCTCTGAAGCACCCACAGCTGCTTCCTTCAGACGCGGCGGGCGGGCAGTGGCCTCTGAGCGCGCAGCTAAGGGCGGGCTGCGGGAGGCGCACCCGGGAATGACGCAGGGGGCTCGGGGCACGGCACTCGGAGGTTCCGACTGTCAGGCACTACCTGGAACCCTGCAACAGGCTCATCACCGGTGGCCCGGCCTCAGTTTCTCCTTTAATAAAAAGCAATTATTCGTGTGACCTCCGAGAGAGCTCTCTGAAATGCAGACTAAAACATGGCGATCGCTTTACTTGAACATTTCCCATGTCTCTTTAAAACATGAACCGTAAAGAGAAAAGTAGGAAGGAAGGACGTGTAAATGAAGAGAGACTTATTAATAAGAGACACTTCAGAGGCCTAGCGACCGAATGCTTTGGGAGAATCTCATTTTGATCTTAAAGAACCAACTGTAAAAAAGAAATTTGTGCCCTGGCTGGCGTAGCTCAGTGGATTGAGCCGCAGGCTGTGAACCAAAGCATCGCAGGTTTGATTCCCAGTCAGGGCACATACCTGGGTTGCAGGCCATGACCCCCAGCAACCGCACATTGATGTTTCTCTCTCTCTCTCTCTTTCTCCTTCCCTCCCTCTCTAAAAATAAATAAAATCTTAAAAAAAAAGAAATTTGTAACATAACACTTGAACACGCTGGAGATTTGAGACTATGAAGGACTTAATGCTGCATTCTTTAGGTATGGGGATGTTACTGGGATTCCAACAAGAAGCCCGTATCTCTGAGATACGTATTGAACCATTTACAGATGAAATGACCTGATGTCCAGGACTTGCCTCAAAGCAGTCTGGAAGGTGGAGAGGGGGAGTTACAGGCAAACAGGGCAGCCCCGCGGTTGGGGGCTGTTAAAGACGGCAGACGTACACGTCAGGCTGCTAGCTCTTCCGTCGACCCTGCAGTGTACAAACAGCTCCCGGGAGGCTGTGGCCTTTTCTGGGTGGGACCCTACTGGCCCCATTCTGCAGCCTCTGCAGCGGCCAGAGAAGTTCTCACCATGACGCCCCACCCCCCTCAGGCTGGGTTCCTACAAGCACGAGGTCCCTCTGTCTGGCCTGCCCTTTGTCCTCTGGGACACGAGCACCAGGGCCACGTCCTCTGGGTTCAAACCCAGGGCCTGCCGTTGACTGGCTGGGTGTCCCTGAGCAAGACGGTTAACCTCTCTGGGCCTTTGTTTCCCCATCTATAAAGGCTAGATAATTAATAATGGGCCCACCTCAGCGGGCTCTTTCAACAGGGCATGGTTTGGGGCACGTGATAAGTCTCTATCAAATAACTGCCGGTCGTGTTCTTCTCCAACGGGCGACGTTCCCCTCCTTTGGCGGGGCCCAGCTGGAAGCCCACCTGGGCTGAGATGTCTTTCCTTCCCATCGCTGGGCACTGGGCGCCAGGCGCCCTCCATGATCCCCGAGGTGCTGCAGTCACTGGGCTACGGCACGCTGCAGGGATCTGAGCGGGCTGTGTTTCTGGGGTCGCCCGGCGCAGGTCCCAGGCCCCCTGTGCCTGTGCTCTCCCGCTGAACACCAAGCTCCCTGGGAAGGGCCGGGTCTGTCCTGGCTCTGGGGCCCCGGACGACCTTGGGGCTGACCTCCAGTGTGGGGCTACACACTCCAAAAATGCTTACATATGTGCCTCCTGAAGGCACAGAAAACTTGCTTGCTCCCATCTATAACGTTCTGTTTCTGTGTTTTCTCCTCCTACATCTCAGTCATCAGCCAGTTGAGATACATTACCATAAAGAAACAAACTGAAACACACACCTGGATTTTAATCTCTCCGTGTTCTCAGACAAAATCTCTCAGTTGATGCCAAGGCGCTACAACAAGACTCTCTTCGTTATCAGTTACGGGCGGGGGTGGGGGCGCTAGCCATCGCTTCCCCTGAGATTATCCGCAGTTTTCAGTGTATACGGGCCACTAAAAAGCACTGAGCCCAGTCCCCCAGGGCTGCGGGGCCGCCCCATCCTGTGCGGACATCAGAGGTAATTGCAGGAAGCCTGAACAGTGTTAAGTGTGTGAGCTGAGGGCATAAAGTTATTTTAAGAGAAGAAAGCATGGGTTATTACCAACCAGCCCTCATTCCCCACCTCCGAGGGCTTTTTGGCGAGCAATTAACAAAGACACCATTTCCTCTGCGCTCCGCCTGGGGAGCCAAAGTGGTTCCGGCACCGCTGGTGAATGGACTGAGAGAGTCCTGTCGCCACATTCCAAGACACAGAACCACCTCGATTTACTGCCCTCGCGATCCCTTTACAGCCACCAAGCGGGGGGACGCAGGCACACCCCGGCCTCCTCCGTCCGCCACATCAAACGCCCACCCAGCCGGCAGGCGCTCCTCCCAACACAGTGCGGCCTTATCAGCAAATCACATCTGAGATGCACTCCAAGACTCTGGGATTCTTCTCGTTTTTAAGAGCTAGTTACAATAAGCCTAGAATCTGCCCCAAAAAGAGATCTGGCGTCACCTTCTTCTCTCCCTGGTGGTTGTCCGGGAGCCGTGTCTGCCCCCCCAGGCAGCGTGCATCTGCCTCGTCTCAGAGTTTGCCTGCGGCTGTGCCCCGCCCCCCGCCCCCCTGCCCCCCTATAGAAGGACTAGTTCTTTTTCCCTCTGGGTCAAACCTCGCTCTCTCCCCTCCCCACCCTTCGGTCCTGCGCACAGTGCCTGGGACGCAAAGGTGCTCAGTGAATCCCCACTGACACGCACGTGTACCTGCCCAGCGTAAAGCTGGGAGTCTCGGTGTTGCACCCGTGGAAAGTCCAGAAAAAACGGGCCGGGGAGTCAGCCCAGACGTTTTTCCCATAAACCCTCACAACCAAACTGGCCGCTACAGCGAAGGTCGTCCCCAAGGACACTGCTGAAGTAGGCAGATCGTCACCAACCCTGCTGCTCCCAGGGAACGCGGGGCCCGACTGGGGAAGGGTCAGGAGCGCTGTGGGCGTCCCGTCCCCACCTCACAGATGAGGACGCGGAGGCCCGCCCGCCACAGGTGACCTGTGGTCACACGCAGGGCTGCAACCCAGCCCTGGGGCTCCCGGTCCAAACCGCACCGCTCCTCGGTTTTCGCTCCACTACTGGGGCAGTGTGCCGAGTGGGGGGCCTGGCACACAGGAAGGGCTCAGCAAATGTCGGGACAGAGGGAGCTGCGCTTGGTAGCTTGGTCTCGGCTCTGCACAGACACGGGGGTCTCCTCGAGCCACTGGTCGTTTGAAAGGTCACAGCCGAGGTTTCCCCCACGCTGACCTTGACCAGGACTCCCGACCAGGAGGTACAGAGGTTAATGAAAGCATAGAACGTGAAGCCAGGAAGAGCTGAGTTTGAATCCTGACCCTGTTCCTGTCCTCACGTCCCCTTGGGCAAGTGCATTAACAGGCCCCAGCCTGCCTGTAAAACCAGGATGAGAATGGTGCCCCGGGAGAGGTGGGAGGGAAACCGAGGAGAGGACGCACGAGGGGGGCGGGGACATGGCCGTTCTGGAGGCAGGAACGCGCAGGCTCAGCCTCACCCCCTCTGCCCCAGGGCCGATTGCTCCCGGGAGGGTCTGGGCCAGGGCTGGGACCCCATTTCTGACCCAGGTAAGCCCTGAGGGAGGGCCTGGTGCATACAGGTACCAAAAACTGAACACTCACCGATGGGCTTCCCACAGGCAGGTAGTCACGTTTTAAAATAAACCTCATTTCTACGCCACTCGTCGAGGAAACCGCCTCCCCAAAGACACAAACAGGAAGAGGCCCCCCGAAAACGGCCTCCCTGGGCCCCGCCCACCACGCGGAGGGAGCCGAGGCTCAGGGGAAGGAGAGGGGCTTACCCAGAAGGGCGTTGTGCCCGCTGTCGTCCGGCAGGAACCGCTGGTCCACGGCGCACACCAGCAGCTGGTCCGGCAGGCCGGGGGCCTTGGCCCCCACCAGCAGGAAGCCCGCGGGGACGTCGATGGGGTCGGTGGAGATGGAGACGAGGCGCAGGTCCTTCCCGGCCTGGCAGAAGCCTGGGAGGAAGGGGCGGGGCTCACGCGCGCTGCCGAGGGAGGGCCTTCCAGGGCCAGGTCCTCGCGGACGGACGAAGGGGTGAGGGCCGTCCGGACCCCGTCAGACGGACCCCACCGCGGCCCGGGACGAGTGTAAAGCTCATTCTGAGAGCTAACATCAGCGGCGTGGGCGCTAAACAATGTCCGGCCCCCCGTGGGCGTGGCTATCGGTGGGTGTCCCCACGTAACGACTGCACAGAGGAAGCTCAGCAGGAGAAACTCGGCACACGGTGCCAATGAAAATCTACACAAGGTAAATCTGCAAGAAACCGCGAGTGATCACGTATTTGTAGTACATGTGTGAGGACAGGAGAGCGGCAGGAATGGGGGGGGACCTGGTGACCCTGGCCGCCTCTGGGGAGGGGCCTGGACGCCCGGGACACAGAGGAGACTCACGGCACAGACAGACTGTCCCTCTCATCCCTTTGAACCTTCTGTACTTAAGAGATGTTAAACACATGGATGGGCAAAGTAGGTTTAGGGTCGTAATACAAATAAATAATACGAGAATAAACTGTTTCGCATACTCCCAACTGTAAACCTACTTATACTTCCTATTTAAAAAATAAGTGTCCAAAATTATTTGAAAAGGCCCCACCTCCCCGCAACCCTCCTACAGTCCCCTGGCTAACTCCTGCTAATGCTTCAAAACCCAGCTAAAGGACCACCTCCTCCAGGAAGCCCTCCCCTAGTTGTGTTAGGAACCTTTCCTGTGCACACCCCTGCTTGCCCCGCCCACCCTACTAGCACTTTCCACAGCCTGAGTGAAGCGTCTGCTGGCCCACGGAGCCCCATCAACGTGGGAGCTCTTGTACCTGTTACTTCCACGTTTCCAGAGCTGGGCTCAGTTATTTCCATTAGTTAACTGACTGCCCTAAATCACTAACGAGGGACTCCTCTTGGCTGGTCTGGTGACAGGGCAAATGAGCTCAGAGGTGGCCTGGCCAGTGAGTGGCAGAGCCAGGAGTCTGTCCAGTGTCCCTGAGTGCCAAGCACGAGGCCGCATCGCTGGACCAAGCGGTCACCCCGCCCGGCATCTCCGAGCCTCAGCCCCTCGACAGCAAGGTGGGGTTCACGTTGCTGACTTTACAGGGTTCCTGGGACAACCTGTATCTGCTTTTCCGACAGTGAAACACCAACAGATGTGAAAGGTTATTCCTACCAATCGGTTCTGACTTAAACACTCACACGGGGCCACCACACCTGAGGTGCAAAAATATACTGTAGTTTTCAGATAACTAGGATAGGAAGAGGAACTTGGGATCCAAATCCACTCATAAAGCTGAGCCTGTGTAGTGAGCGGCTGAGGGGCTGTGAGCCTGACCGTGACCCCATGGTGTCCGTGCAGCCAAAGCTGCAGGTCCGGGAGGTCACCCCAGCCACTGCTGGTGGGGGCCATGGGCAGAGGGGACACCCCCAGCTCAAAGCTGCAGATACTGGGCAGTGGGCACTGCCTGGCGGGGCAGCGGGCTCACCGTCCATGGTGCAGCATCCTTCCGGTGGAGGGTGCATCTGGTAGGGGTTTGGGGGACAGCTAGGCTCCAGCCCTCCTTCCGCCTCATCTTCCTCTTCCTCATTGTCGACGCGGCTACTGCCTAGACAGGGGGAAAAGGAGGGGGAGGAAGGCACAAGTAAGGACTCAGCGAACCCCAGCTACTGAGTAAGTAGGCAGTCCTTGCTCCACACCGAAGGCCGGGCACTGCCACCCTCTGCACCAGAGAAAAAGCTGAGGCTCGCTCAGGTGCATGGCTCTTCCAAGGTCACAGGCGCAGGCTCCAAATTCAGGGTCACGTTCCTTCCCATCCACCAGAGTTGCACAGGTCTGCACACACACTGGGGCCAGTCTGTATGTGTTGGGCTGGCCAAAAAGTCCATTGGTTTTTTCTGTACGATGGCTCTAGTATGCTTAGTCGTCTTTAGCTTCATTTGAAATGATTTTGTTAGATTGTGCTAACAGCTGTCATGTTGGTGTGTGTGCATTTTTTTAAAAAGTTCTCAAAATCGGTGAATTTTTGTGCAGCCGTTTTAATATTGAAGATGGAAGAAAGTACACAACATTTTCAGTGTATTATGCTTTATTATTTCAAGAAAGGTAAAAACACAACTGCGATGCAAAAAAAATATTTGTGCAGCGTGCGGAGAAGGTGCTGTGACTGATTGAACGTGTCAAAAGTGGTTTGCGAAGTTTCTTGGTACTACTGACATTTTGGCCAAATAATTCTTTGCTGTGGGGCTGTCCTGTGCATTGTTAGAGGTTTAGCAGCGCCCCTGGCCTCTCCCCAGCCGAAGCCAATAGCGGGAGACAGCTGACGTACTCAAAATATCCAAATCAATAAAGTTCTTAGTGACAATGAATAATGTGTCTTTCATTGTACAGAAAAGAAAAACTAAAAGGACTCTTTGGGCAACCCAAGAACCGGTTGGAAAGGATGGCGCGTGAAACCGCACCCGCCAGGCCCTCCAGGAACGTCTGAGTGGCAGGTGCCGGTGATAACAGGCAGGACCCTTTTACAGACCACAACGCGGAGGCTCGGAGGGCCCTGATTGGCCCGCGGCTGTCCAATGAAGAGCTAAGGGACACAGGGGGGCGTGCACAGGGGGGCGTGCTCCCAGGTGCGTCTGCTGCCCGAGCTGCTATTCCGACCACCAGCCGCACACGCAGTCTTCACACACAGAAGACAGTGGTGCGGCCATGCGTTGTGACTCACCCCCGGGGAAGAAGGCTGGTATCGGCCCTAGAAATGCAAACACGCCCACTCTGTCACACCCACACACACACAAAAAGCCTTTTCAGCACAGGACAAGGCGTGTTGTGAGCTCAGGAAACCCTCTCTAAGTGACAGTGTTTTAGGAGTAGTGTCCAACGTGGAGCTGGCCAGGAGAGCCAAGAATTAGGCAGGGGAACCCCGCCCCTCCCGGCAGACATGCGGCTCCGGGGGAGGGGACCCGCCCCCACTCTTTCTCCGCCGTCCAGGCGTTCGACTAAATCCGTTCCAGAAGCAGCGCTCAGCCCACACCTGCCCGGAGGACCCCAGCAGCACGGTGACACCTCATTTACCCCGTGTCACTAGAGACAGGGGGCGCTCAAGTCAATGAATTTTCAGGTCTGTTGAAGTATATAGTCTTTCTAACTTCTTTTAACAGACATATTGGTTAAAAAAACAAACAAACAAAAAAACCTCTTTTAACCTGCCTCAAATATCACTTCATAAAGAACACACAGATTTCTTCATGAAACAGGGTCACCCTGAACACCTTGAACACTCAAGGCTAGGAGACAGCAGTCTCTTCTTGGTTGCTCCGTGCCCTCTTGGAGGGTCGGCCTCCTGGTGGCCACCTCTCCGTTCCCCTCTGCCTTGGCCCTCGCATCCCCTGCCCACCCAGGGGCTACGTGGTTCTAGGTGGATGACGAAATCGTGTGCAGTGGACAGAGATGGGACTGGGGGTCGGGGGACTCCATTTACAGGACTGGGGGTCCACCACCGTCTGTGTGGCCGTGGGGACACTCCTGAACCTCTCTGTGCGTGGAGCCTGCGTCTGTAAAACAAGGCCGCTGGCACTGGGACACCTACGTGGAGAACTCGGGCCCGGAGAAAACTCCAGGTGCGATTTCATCCGCGCAGGTGCCGGCATCGGAGCCTCACAGTGGCCACCATCTTAAAGGTGTGTGAGGGGCAAGAGGCAGAAGAAACTGGACATTTTGAGCCAGCTCTGACCCATGGGCTTGGGAAGGCCACAGCAGGAGTGACGCAAGAGTCCTGGCGTCTCGGTCCTGGGCTTAGGGGACACGGAGGGTGCGGGAAGAGTGTAAAGGGGGCACCCAGGGGGTGGGAGGGAACTGCGGAGCCTCCTGGAGGTGCTCCCCTCCTGCCCCTCCCTGTAGGGAGAAGAAGGTACAGTCACACCCAGGTCCCAGGTGCCAGCCACAGGGCACGGCTCACCACGGTCACTGTGGCAGGGGCGGCATAGACAGCTCCTCTGCAAAACCCTGATGTGCAACCAGTGTTCCAGGCCCAGAGGGGACGGCAGAGACCCCCGCAGCAGAGGGGACGGGGGAGGGACAGTCTCGGGTGTGCCGAGGGCACGCGCAGGAATGCCCGCACGTCACTCTACTGAGCCGAGAAGAACAGGAATGCAGACTCTCAGAAGGCATGAAAGAGGAGGGTCTTAAGCCTCAGAAAGTCAAAGGAAGCTCAAAATCCAGTCTCTAAGAAAGCAGGGTTAAAGGTCAAAGGTCTACGTGAGACATTCCAGGGCCTGGGAAGGGATGAGCGAGTCAGCCAGGGGCAGCCTGAGGAGGCTCCCCGACCCGGAGGGAGGGAGGAAACCGGACCGACGACTGAGGTCTCTGGGGAGCAGGGGGGCCCTCGGCCTGGAACGTCCCTGGACACAGCCAGCGGGACAGGGACCCGAGGACCACCAGCGACAGCAGGGGCCCAGAGGCTCTGCGGCGGCACTTTGCTCCAGGGTTTGGGGCTGCCTATCCTGAGGTGCACGCTAAGGGAACTCGCTGGCATTCGGGGGCAGGGGGGTTTATAGATAGTTACCTGCATCTACTTTAACAGACACTTCAAAATGCCGGGCTGGTTTGTTTTTATTCTGGTTGGCCTTCCTTTTTAAACAACAAATAACACATAAAGGTTTTTCCCCTAAAGGAGGTGGTGAGACCCCCGATTCAAGAACAAAGGAACCAGGGCCTTGCTGGGTTGCCCCCCCCAAATACAGAGTCTGTTACGGAGGGGGGGCTGTTGAGTGCAGTGGTGCCCTGGTCAGACCGACCATCCGGAAGGTTACTGTCTGAGCAAGGACAGTGATGAGACAGGAGACCCTGGCGCGGAGACAGGCAGACACAACAAGACCTCCGACCTGTGCAAGCCACCGGCAGCAGGGTGTGGGCTGCAGGCACCGGCCAGGGGCTAGAGCAGAGAGCTGGGTTTATGGCGGCATTTAGCAAACCACAGTGAGGCTGCTCCTGCCCACCGAGCTCCCCTGCTAGAAAAACAAAACCTCAAGGGGCCATCCCCATGCCGTCTGCTGGACAAACGGGAAAAGCACACAGAGGGCCACGCTGGTGTTCATGCCGACAGGAGGGGCAGACCAGGGGGCCAACAGCCCCCACCCAGGGTGCATGCCTCAAAACTGTCCCTGGAGAGTGTCCCTCGCCCAGTGCCCCACCAGCAGATGGGGGCACCCTGAGATGCAGCCTCCCAGGCAGAGGCCACGAAGGGGTGCCTGTGGAGATCTCAGACAGAGTGACCCTCTCACAGCTGCTCCCCAATCTCCGCAGGTGAGCACCCTTCAACCTGCACCCAAACCACGGGCTCAGTCACTTTGGCTGGTGCAGGTGAAGCACTTTGTAGCTTTTAGGTTGCCGTGCAAATGCACTGAATTATTTATCATTACCATTATCATGATTTTATCATGAGCAACCAAGACTTCCAGTGCTGTAAGAAGTTAAGGGTGACTACTTAATATGTACTTCCCAAGTCCTCTGCTATAAAATATTTTCTCCTTGTTTCTCGTCTCCCCCACGAAGCCCCAGTACTGTGTCCTGTGCCAGGAACCGTTAGTGCTTTCCATGCAAAGACGAGGGAACTCTTGGTTTTCCTAATCCATGCTTCTTAGTCCTCAGCCGCAGCTGTCTGCCAGGTGAATTCAGTCAGGACGTGTCAGGGCGTGACACGGGAAGGCCTCCCTGCTGGGTGAGGGGCCGTCTGTGTCCCACAAACAGGTCCCTGCCTCGTTTTCCCTTGATAGGCAGCCCCCCCACCCGCCCACCCCCACCCCGACACACGCACACAGGTTCACACGCACACTGACACACACACACACACAGGTTCACACACACACTGACACACACACGCACTGACATACATGCGCACGTCGTGACCACACAGGGCCTGGCAGACTGCACGCTGTTGAGTTTGTGAATGTACGTTCGTTTTAAACCACAGCCCTGCATCGTTTCAATAGCTAAGCAATGCCTGCAGGTAACTGCTAAGTGACGTCTGCAGGGAACTTCGAGGGAGAGACAAAACCCGACACAAAGAAGTCTCATCACCGCAGGAACACGTCCTGTGCCGTGGGCTGCCGTGGGGTCACTTTCGCCATGACAACGCCCGGCTATAAAACTGCAAACCAGGGGAGACTGAAAAAATACAACCATTTCATTCTCTGGACGATTAGGTCAAACCCTCAAGGTGTCCCCAGGGCTGAAGATAATTTATTTAATCCTGGCACTCGTGAAATTCATAAAGGTCTGTTCTTGGTTTTTAAAACTTTCCAGAGGCTCCTAGTACCTGCTGTGGCAAGAGAAGCCACCCAGACCGCTCTGCTAGGACAGGGCCACGAGCGGCGGCACCAGGGAAAGAGAGCAGCTGAGGGTTAAGAGCCCGTTACACTTTCTCTCTTGTCCGAGGGGAAACATCAAAGCTTTCTAATGGGCCACAGCCAATTCAGAACAGCCTGACACGGCCCCCGTCCTTCCTCCTGTCAGTCCCACGAGTAATTTTGATTCTTTGCCACCTGCTAGCTGAAACCCACTTGAACTTTAGCCAAGTACGAGTTTAGGCGTCACTTTCTTTCCCTCACAGTGCTGTCCCGCCCGACTCGGCATTCTCTCCCCAGAGCAGAAGAGGAAAGAGTTTCAAGTCGTCCCCCCACCTCCCCGCCGACACGGAGGGCGCCCCCACGGGAGGGACACGGACACGGGCGTACCTTCGAGGGCGGCGAGCTGCTGCTCGGCCTCCAGGTAGAGCCGGGAGAAGACGGGCCGCGGCACCAGGCTGTTGGAGCGCAGCGAGGCCTCGATGGAGTGGTGCAGCACCTCCTCGAACCGCGTGGCCTTCAGCTGGCCGGCGTAGGAGTTCCCCATCTTCCGAAGGCCCGCCGGCGGGGTCTTCTGCTCAAAATGGCATTTCGGCTCCGGTTAAAAGGACGGACCCGCGCGTGGGAAGCCCCGAGGCAGAGAACGAACCCCTCTGCTCTGCCCGTCCCGCAGAGAGCAGGCGCGGGTGGGTCTCAGCCACCGCCCGCCACCGCCCGCCAGCGCCCGGCGACGACAGGAAGTTATATGAGTCACAGCTTTCTCTAGCCTCGCCCTCGGAGGGCAGCCTCTGACCCCTCTTAGAACCTGTCCCTAGGAATCAGTCGACTCTCCGGGTCCTCCCCAGCTTCCCCCCGTGTTGTGACCCTGCCCCGAGAGCCCCCAGACCGATGAGGCTTTCTCCTCCCGGCCCCCGGGGGAAGAATAGCCCCTGGCCACTTTGTGTACGTGACAGCAGCTGACAGCCCGGTGATCCAGGACGACCGGCCCCCAGGTTTTAGGACCCCCTCAGCCTCCCCGTGCTTCCCAGGAAGCGGGCTGCAGGTTTCCCATCGTTGTCTTTGCTGCTAAAAGGCCGGTTACTAACATTCTCCCTTTAAAATGGTGTTTGGTTTATCATGCTCTCGTTAGACAAGTGACGCAGAATTCGATCGGAAAATTACAAGAGGGTGGAAAGCAAGGAAAATCAGATGTGTCCATTCCCCGAGATAAGCACTGTGACTTTTGGGGGGGGGTGGGGGGGTGGAGGGGTTAGTGACTTCGTTCAGATATAATTCACAAACCGTACCATTCCCCCACTGCCAGTGCCCATTTCAAAGGGATACATTCTCAGTGTTGTGCGAACCTCACGTGACTGATTTTAGGACCTCTCACAGCCCCAACAGGAAACCTCACAGCCCGTGCCTGCCACTCCCAGCTCCCCTGGCCCCAAGCCTCCGGCCCCAGGCACCTGCTCATTTACTTTCTGTCTCTGTGGATTCGCCTGCTCTGGAAAGTTCATGTTCATGGGGTCCTACAGTGTGTGGTCCTCTGTGAGGGGCCGCTCTCAGCACGATGTCCGTGGGGTCCCCCCGCCTGGTAGCACAGGTCAGGATTCCAGTCCAGCTGTGACACTGAAACACGTTCTCCCAGACTGAATTCCCTCCAGAACTTGGGGGTGGGAGGGAGACGAGCGGCTGTGACCACAAGGCTATCATCGCTCTGTAACGCAACGGGTTACCCTACGTTTTGAACTTGGTGTAAGCATTTCACCCCGCCCTCTTACAACCGCTTTGAAAACAACGCGTTTTAAAGGCTGCGTCTTCTTCCATGGCGTGAAGGAGCCGATATTCACTCAGACTTGCCTCCCAGACGACACACATACGGTTCAACCTCTCAAGTTTCCTTCTTCCCAAGATCTGCCACTGAAGTCTACAGTCCTTCCCAGTGCTTTCCACGTATTCTCTCAGTAAACTTAGTTTTTATGTCACCCTCTTTCCATTTTCTTTTGGTTTAATGGCTTGTACTTTTTGCAAACTTATTAAAATCATTACTTTATCATCACTTTTATTCTCCTTCTCACTTCTTTTTTTTAAGGTTTTATTTATTTATTTTTAGAGAGGGAAGGGAAGGAGAAAGAGAGAGAGAGAGAGAAACATCAATGTGCAGTTGCTGGGGGCCGTGGCCTGCAACCCGGGCATGTGCCCTGCCTGGGAATCGAACCTGCGATGCTTTGGTTCACAGCCCGCGCTCAATCCACTGAGCTACACCAGCCAGGGCTCCTCCTCACTTCTTTAATAATGAAGACATGACTATCCTGTTCTTCTGGGCCCCTCTTGTGCGACAGCATGTGGGTTGAGTATAAAGTATTCTCCTTTTCATTTCTTTTCAGATACTTTATGACCTCCATTCTGATTTCCTCTTCAATCTGAGAATTACCCAGAGAATATATTTAATTTCTAAATAGTCAAGGCATGGGGAGGAAGAGGTCAGCCTTATATTATTTCTTCCTAATTTGTACTGGATTACAACCATGACTGTAGTGTTAGAAACTTTTTCAATTTGTCAAGGGTTTCTTTGGTGGGGGGGACACCTAATGGATTTTTAAAATATACTATCAATATGAGAAAAGAGATGTACAAACCCTCTCCAAAGGAGGAAAGGAGCTAAATTATTCAAATCTCCTATGTGAAACAGACAATATTTGTGTATTACTTGCCTACTATACTTTTGAGTTTCTTTTACCTTTTTTAACCCTCACCTGAAGGTTTTTTTATTATTGATGTGAGAGAGAAAGAAACCTCAATGTGAGAGAGAAATATCAATCAGCCGCCTCCCATTTGCACCCTGACCGGGGATCAAACCCGAAACCTTCTGATGTACGGAACAATGCTCCAACCAACTGAGCCAGCAGGCCAGGGCTACACTGCTGATTCTCAAAGTAGCATTTGACTTAAAACACAGCGCAAGAAGCCGGCTCCAACGCGCTCACAGGACAGCAGCGTCCTGGCTCACTCGCAGCGGGGCGCTGGCCACACGGGCGGGGAGCCCGGCTACACCAGCCAGACCCGGTCTTGCACTGGGACGCAGGGCCCACGTGAGCAATGCCCCTGGCCCTCGCTGTCCGAGGCAGAGCCACTTCAAGACGGGGCCTCTGGTGCCCTCTGGAAGGTCAAGAGGGCTGGTGTCCCCTCACTGACTTTCTGCCTCCTGTTGTAAGGAAGCCTTTCTCTGCCAACTTAAAGTAAACGGAAACCGCCAGACACTTCCTGCCAGCGGCAGTAACTCCTGAGCATGGCCGCTCCGTCAGCCTCGGCTGCAGCCCGGGGAACTGAGCCGTGGGGCGCCCTGCTTCAGGAATTTGCCCCGACAAAAAGGAAGCGCTCCTGAAAGAGAGAGGGCAGCTGCGGGAGCCACCTGACAGCTCCCACCCCACCCCCTGGCAGCACCCACCCCGGGGCCCCCTGGTCTGCCTGGCTTCCTGACCTGCTGCCTACTCTGGTGCACGAATGAGGGCGTACCGGCCCCATTGGGGCGGGGGGGTACGTGCACTGTTTCTGATTCAGGCTGGACTATTTCAAGGCACCACAAATTGATAAGCTCAGAAATGTCCCCTATGTCTGTAGAGGTCTGTCTAAGGAGTTGAACACACATAAGAAGCTGGACGTCCAGCCCATTTGACACGGAGCCCCTGCAGAATTGCACTCAAAGAGTGATCGGGACACCCAGACCCTATGTTCCCAAGGTCCTGCTCAGCTCACCCGACAGCTGACTGGCACACGGAGCCCAGGGGACTCCACCCATTAAAGCAGATCAATGCCTAAGGTGGATGGGGCCACACAGAGGGAAGAAAATACGAACAACATGAATTGGCCAGCTTCTGTGTCCAAAGCAGTGAGCAGGCTCCCCCACTCCACATGCACGCCAGCCGGGCGAGGATATTATGAAGCCCATTATAAGGATGACAAGTTCAAGGCCTGGAGATGATCAGTAACCTGAAGGAACTCTTATGGAAAGATAAGAGCCGGAGCCGGGGGTGGGGGCAGAAGGGGATGGGGGGGGGCGAGAGGGCACAAACACGAGAGAACGGCAACACGGGAAGAGTTCTCAAACAAAGGGGAGCGTTTCATTTTACGACCCTGAGCAAGCATCGAAGCTTCCGTGTCTATAAGCAAACGACGGAGAAAATGCACCCCGCTCCCTGTGGATTGCTGACCTGAAATCACGTGGAGTAACCACGGTGAGCAGGATCGGGGGCGCTGAGGATCCTGGGGAGCGGCATGGCCCTTTCGGTCGGCCCCTGGACCAGCAGTCTGGACCGTGCAGACGGGACACCGGCCAGGTGAGGAGGGGGCTTGGGGTCAGAGGGCAGAGCAGGCTGCAGTGGAGGCACAGAACCCCGCACCCGTCCGATGGAGAGCCACAAGTCTAGCTCAAGGTCAAACACAGAGGCCTAAACCCTCCCGACGCCTCACAGGGCAAAAGGCCTCCGTCCTGGGTGGCTCTGGCACTCTCTCCCCGGACGCTGTCTCTGTGCCAGACCCCCCGCTGCACCTGCACGTGCACTTGGCCTGGGAACGGCAGGCGTCTTCCACGCCCGACCCCTCAGGAGGAAGACGAGGGACAGGCGTGGCTACCGGAGGCGGTCCGCGTGGTTGAAAGGAGCTGTACAGGTTCTGCCAGAGCAGAGCTTGGGGGTCAATTATCAGTAGATGGATGAAAACTCAAGTAAACAAAAAACAAGCAACAACTCATGCTACAGGGAAAATATGGGGTTGTACGGGAATCGAAGGTTTCATGCGGGCACAGGGCAAGTCCGCGCGGAGTGCCAGCGCAGCCGGGGTTCGTGGGGACCATTCCGGACGGGCGGGGACAGGAAGGCACTGTGTGTGGGTGAGGCTGCGCTTTGGGGCGGGAAGGGGGGTAAAAAAGCTACATTCGCCTATTCCACGGGAAGAATTTAAAGATGAGCCAGGAGTAAGTAAGGAATCGCAGCCCTGGTTATTGTCCATAAATAACGAGGTAAATTCCAGAAAAGAAAACAACCAGAGTTAAAAGCCAGTTGCCTGGAGGAAGCAGAAGTAGAGTGGAAATAGGCTGGGAGACTGGTGTTTTTCATCTTAAAGCTTAGAATAGAATAGAATAGGATAGGATAGACTAGACTCCATAGCTCATGCGTATTTAAATGTATTGAAAGCTGAAAGTTGCATTTAAAAATAAATGAAATGCAGGCATGAAAACAAACGGAGGACGAACAGAATCTCAGGAGCTGGGCAGCTGACGGTCACAGTGAACCACACACCGAGAGCAAAGGAAGGCCACCCTGCTGGGCACGATCTCATTTAATCCTAGCGACTGTCCTGTCTGGTATTATTTCTGTCCCGATTTTCATCCCCATCCCACAGATGAACAAACTGAGGCCCAGAGAGGCCTGTCTGATGACGCACAGCTGGCGCCTGGCCTGCAGCGGAAAGCCCATCTCCAGAGAATCTCTTCCGTGCAAAGTGGCGTTGAGCAGCGTACACTGGCAGACGCCCTCCGGGGGAAGGTCGTCAGTCTGCACTGCCATCCCCTTCCCCTGGACAAGACAGGGCCCA